AAAAAAAAAAAAAAAAAAAAAAAAAAAAAAAAAAAAAAAAAAAAAAAAAAAAAAAAAATTTGAAAACTCTGAACACAGAATCTGCAGAGTGTCAACATGGAGCAATTATTTATGACACCATACTTGAACATTTTGAGGTTGAATACTCTGTTTTTGCTTTCTCTTTTAATAGTAATTTACTACAGAGGTAAAATCATTTTAGGTACCTAACGCACGCTATTTTCACACTTAGCTAGGCAAGGCGAGAGGCTACTGCCAAGTTTTCAGAGCCAGAAACCAATCAGGTCTCAGGGTCACATATAATAAGGAAGGAAAACAAGCCTGTGATTCTAAGTCAGACAAACTGATAGTGGAGGGGGCAAAAGCGCAAACAATACAATCGGAATAACCAAAAACCATGAGGAACAGGTCATAAAGATTTTCACAGTCAGTCCAATCATATTTGTCTACACGTCTACTCTCCAGCACAGTTTGGTTCATGGGGTAAGCTGGGGTTTCTCTTGTTAGCAAGCAGAACTCATGCATGTCTCTCCTTTGAGAATTTAAAGTTTCTCTCGAGAAAAAGGTTAGTGCTGGCAGTGGTGGCCCACGCCTTTCATCCCAGCACTTAGGAGACAGAGCCAGACAGATCTCTGTGAGTTCAAGGCCAGCCTGGTCTACAAGAGCTAGTTCCAGGACAGGCTCCAAAGCAACAAAGAAACCCTGTCTTGAAAAAAGAAAAGAAAGAAAAAGAAAAGGTTAGCTATCGTTCGTGACTCAGTCATGATTAGGACAGTGTTATCCTTCTGTAGTGGCTCATTTTGATTTTAACTGAACACACCGGGAAGATGGAGCCACACTTGAGGAATTGCTTCCATCAGAGCAGCCTGTGAGCATGTCTGTGGAAGTATTTTTCTGCTTTCTAATGGATGCAGGAGGGCCCAACCCACTGTGCAAGGCATCCTCTGGGGGGGGGGGTGGACTGTCTAAGAAAGGTAACCAGATGTAATCATGGGAGCAGCAAGTGAGGAACTGTCCTTGTGGGGAGCAGCAAGTAGGGAGCAGCAAGTGGGGAGATGTCCTTGTGGGAAGCTGTCCTCGTGGATGCTGCTTCCGCAGCAGCTGTCTGAGTTCCCGTTCTAACTTCCCTCAGTGATGGACTGACCATGAAGTATGAGATGAATTAACCCTTTCCCCCCTCCAGCTGTGGTTGGTCACGGTGTTTATGGTAACAACAGAGGGCAAAACTAGAAAATCTTCCTACAGGTACTTCATTTGAGTTACTCCAGCTGTTATATGAAACACTTTCTCCACGGAAAGGAATTTCTCCCCATCTCTGTCTCTCTGACTCTCTCAGTGCCTCCCTGGGTGTGTGCTGGGGCACAGTAAGTTCATGCCTGTGGAGGTCAGAGGGCAGCTTTTGGAAGTGAGTGTTTACCTTCCACCTCTAAGAGTCTCTCTTGTTTCCAATGAATTGTGCTTCCAGCTAGCCACCCACTAGCTTGCAGACAGCTTTCATGTCTCCAGACCCCTAGCTTAGTGGGCTTATTTATTTATTTGCTTATTTATAGCCCTGGTGAATGAACTAAGAACTTCCACATGCCAGACAAGCACGGGGCTTTAATGCCTTTTTTGACCCCTCCTCCCAAAGGCAGCCACTCTTGGGAACTTGGTTACTCTCCTTCCAGTTCATATTTTTTATGTTTTTATTGCTTTTTATGCTTTTATTGTTATAAATATTCATTAAGTGGGTGGTATATATGTGTTTATTTTATATGTGTAATATTAAAAGCTTATTATGTTTATTTATTTGTGTAGGTGTGCCTGTGAGCCTGTATGCTTCACAATAAGTGTGGAAGTCAGTTCTGTCCTTCCACAATGTTCCCTCTGCCTCTTCAGGATCAAACTCAAGTTGCCAAGCTTGGCAGCAAACACTTTTACCCAGTGGGCCATGTCTCTGGCCTCCATATTTGTAATTTTGTGCAATGGGGCCATGTCTCTGGCCTCCATATTTGTAATTTTGTGCAATTCAGCAATGAATGGAGGAATATATTGTTTATCGGGGTTTTCCCCCCTTATTCTATAGGCATCACCATTTGTATTGTCTCTACAGGGACACATACAGCTTCAGTTAGCTTACATTGTTTAGTTCACATTCTATGAGGATCCTGCAGCTTCTCTGCCTATGCTCTGCCGGTCTTCAGATGCTCAACAATGCCGCCCTGAGCAATTCCAAAGTGCATCTCCAGGAAAGAACAAACACACAAACAAACCCCAACTTGTTCTTCAGTGTCCTGGGGATGGGAAGTTAAGAACTAAAGTATTTTCAGAGGCCAGGGGCTAAAGCCCATGCTTTATGGAAACTGTCGGGTGGCCTGTGTTAGTAGGAGAGACCCTGGCATCCAAAACCTGGGCTAGAATCTTGGCACTCTGATCCTTAAAACAACTCAGTTCGGTTTTGCCTCACATGCCCTTAAGAATGAAAACACCCCAGTGGCTGCAGCCCACGTCCTAAGAGAACACTAGATGGAGGTTAGAATTATCGTTTGGAAAGGAAGAAAAGAAAGTGCCACCTTGTGAAATATCTATCTTTGATAAGCCTGTGTTTGTTTGTTGTTTTGACGGTAGCTGGTTCAATATACTGGCTGGACATAGTGCCACATCAAGGAAAGGAGAGCAGAGTGACAGCGGGAAGGAAGTAATACCTGTGTCACTTTGTTATCGTCCAGCGCCAGGATCTCCAGGTTCCTGAGCGCGCAGATCTGCGCGGGGAAGTGGTCAATGTGGTTCTGACTGAGATCCAGGAAGCGCAGGTTGACCAGGCGCTTGAAGGAGCGCCGCAGTCCGCGCAGGCCCGTGTTGCGCAGGTAGAGCAGGTTCAGCGCCAACCAGCGGCACAGGAGGCGGGGCACCTTCTCCAGGCGGTTCCCACTCAGCCCGACTTCAGTGAGCTCGGTGAGCAGCTCCAGGCTGGGCGGGAGAGAGTGGAGGAGGTTTTGAGTCAAATCCAGCACCGACAGCATGGTGCACCGGCTCAGAGACTCCGGTAGAAGAGGCAGGTTGTTAGACGCCAAGTAGAATTTCTGCAGCCTCACCAGGTTCCCGATTTCATCCGGGATGGCCTTAAGCTTGTTGTGGTCCAGATCGATCACCTCCAGGTTGGAAAGGGCACAGAGGTCGCTAGGGAAAGCCGAGAACTGATTGTGTTTCAGGTAGATCTCCTTGAGCTTGCTCTGGTTCACGATTTCCTTGGGCAGCGATTCCAGGTTGTTCCCCGACAGCCCTAACAGCTCCAGGTGGTGCAGCGATTTGCAGATCACCGAGGGAACCTCTCTCAGGCCGGTTTGGTAGAGCCGCAGCTCCCGAAGCGTGCGGAGACAACTGAGTACCCGCAGGGAGGAGTAGAGCAGCGGGTTGCCACTCAGGTCCAGCGACTCCAGGCTGCTCAGAAACCCCAGCTCCGGGCTTAGACACTGCAGTTTGTTCTTGTGTAGGTAGAGGACCTTGACATTCTTTAAATTCTGAATGTCCTGGGGGATTTCTGAAATCTGGTTGTTCTCCAGATGCAGTTCTTCTAATTCTTTCAATGCCAAAATCTCTGACGGGATGGTTTTCAGACCCTGGTTGGAACCATCAACGAAATAGGTTCTATCAGTGACCCGCTGGGAGTCATTTCTCTGAAGAACCTTGGGAAATTGTTCTGGTTTCAGTTCTTCTTTTGACAAGACTTTTAAGGAAAGTTCCATGATCCCAAATCTAAAATACTGTGAAAGGGAGGGAAAAAAATAAAGCAGATTTCCCTGACAACCAGATTTAATAACTGGGCGCGGGGGCGATGGCGACGACGGGCAAATGCTTAAATGACTGAAACTATTTTGCAACATTATATTTTCTTGCATTTCATGTTAGGTTAAGAGTTAAAGCGCAGGGGGCTGGAGAGATGGCTCAGTGGTTAAGAGCACTGGCTGTTCTTCCAGAGGTCCTGAGTTCAATTCCCAGTAACCAACCACATGGTGGCTCACAACCATCTGTAATGAGATCTGTCGCTCTCTTCTGACGTGTGGGCATACATGGAGGCAGAATATTGTATACATAATAAATGAATAAATAAATATTTAAAAAATAGTTAAAGCGCAAACTCCTCTTTCTAGTAAGTTTGTGTGCCTGTGTTAACACACAGATCACCTAATTGCTTTCTTTTTTAAAAAAATATTTATTTATTTATTTATTTATTTATTTATTATGTATACAATATTCTGTCTGTGTGTATGCCTACAGGCCAGAAGAGGGCACCAGACCCCATTACAGATGGTTGTGAGCCACCATGTGGTTGCTGGGAATTGAACTCAGGACCTTTGGAAGAGCAGGCAATGCTCTTAACCACTGAGCCATCTCTCCAGCCCTCTTTCTTTTCTTTTTTTTTTTTTTTAATCACTTGTTTGGGGACTAAAGAAATGGCTCAGCCTTTAAGAGCTCTTACTGCTCTGGCAGAGGAACTCAGCGGGTGGCCCATCACCCAGTTGGAGGCTCCAGGGGAATCACATACACTCTCCTGTCCTCTTTGGGCACCTGAACTCATACATACATACATACCTCCCCCTACCCCACCTTAAAAAAATCTTTCAAAACTGGCCACAGTGGGGCACACCATTAATCCCAACACAGGGGAGGCAGAGGAAGGTGGATCTGTGTGACTTTGACATCAGAGCTGTCACTGCAAATCAAGCTAAGGGGTGAAAAATCTAGGGCTCAGCCACTTTTTCTCCATAAGTGGAGGCCTGTGTGGGAAGTCTCCCTCCCGCCTGGTGAGGCTGGTAGACAGACAGCCTTCCGTAGGCAAACCAAAAGCCAACTAAGGGAACAAAACCATGCCTGGGACAGGAGAACCTGCCAAAGAAAAGGACTTGTAATAGACACGCGTGGGTCAAGAGGGGCAGTTCTTTCAGTCTGGAGCGCTCTCAAGTGCAGGGTCAGTTCTCCACTGGATAGCGCCAAGAGGTCTTTGAGGAAGGTGCAAACTGGGCTAAGCGGGATCTTAGTCTCAGTCTTTCTGTGTCGCTTGCCCCCTGACCCTGCCATCCTGCAATACTCCTTGGGAGTCCCTGGCTCCAACGCTAGCTGAGGCCTTATAGCCTCTCTTGGGCTTCTGGGGGCTATTTCAAGGCTCTTCTTCCGGACTAGATACTCCAAATTCACCTTCCATCCGTGGATCTGCAATTGGCACCTAAAGGTCTCTAACATCCTGACCCACCACCCTCACTGCCTTACTATAAAGAAGACGCTCAGATTCCACACGGATGTGGTCTTGCCTGCCTCCATAATCTAGATACTGTCTGTACCTGTGCCTCTGCAGCTTGGCCCTGGGGCGGACTATCTCAGACTACTCCGGAAGTCGCCTTCTCCAGGAAACCCCTCCAGGGGGCTTCACTCCTTTACAAAACCCTTTAAGCTATTACAACCCATCTTGATGGTTCTATCACCAGATTCCGAGCTTAACCTTTCGCTTCCTTTTGGGGGAGGAGGGCTGGGTCACCGGGATTTGTAGCCCTGGTCCCTAGCCCAGCAGGGTAGGCTCCCTGTCCTACAAGCTCTCCCTCAGTGTCTATAATCCAGAGTGGGTAAATTTAAGGTGAGTGATCACTGTCTACCGATTACAGTGTGCCCGCCCTCTCAACTGTAGCCCCGCCTCTTCCCCCTTCCTTCTGGAGGAAGCTCTGTGGTTGCCATGGGAGCAACTCGGGTTGCTGGCCTGGTAGGAGCAGGTTGAGGAAGTCCAGCTGCAACCTTACTCTTCAGCGGTCCAGACCTGCAGGGCTAGCGGGGTTAGAGGAACCCGGCCCTGTAGCTCCAGGTCAAACAAAGGGCGGTGGATCCCACCTGCAGAAGCCTCAGGTACAGGCAGAACTCTGGGGTGCCCTTGACCGCCACTGATCCTCCTGACTTTGTGAGGAGGGTAGCAGAGTATCTGCGGCTTTGCTTTTAGGGTCTGGGGAAGGTGGTGTGGTCTCTTCTGCGCCCGAGTATGTGGAAGCCCCAAGAAACCATCCCAGACAAGCAGGAGGCTCCTGAGAGGTTTCTGGGTTCCCACTTCTAGCCCACCCATATTTTCTTTTATTTTAATTTCTTCATCTATTTTTTTTTTATTTTTAAGTTAGCTCATAGAAGAAGGGGTTTCATCGTGATATTTTTATTCATACATACCATACTTCCGCATGCACTTTGAGTATGTCTGCATCCATGAATTTAACAAATAAAGCGTAAGGTTAGGGATGTACTCAATGAGCGTTTGCCTGGCACCCACAGAAATCAGAGCTCCTGCCACCACTTTGGCTTGGGATGTTTGTTTGTTTCAAAGTGTGTGTTGGGGTTTGGCTGGAGAAAGGATAATAAGGGAAATAAGATGACAAAGGGAGAGGTCCTGACACTGCGTCTTCCAGGGGTGGAAGCTGACGGAGCAGGACTGGGCGGGGCTGACCCAACCGCCTGACTGCTCGCGTCCTGTTCCCTACAGGGGAGAATAAGGCTGTTTGTTTTGCAAGGGTGCAGCGGCTGCCTTCTCAAAGGTCCAGCTTAGAGAGTCAACGCCTGTCTCTGCTCCTTGGCGCTTGTAGGAGCAGACACCAGAAGCGCTGGTCTTCCATCTCAAGAAGTTAGTAGCCTGAAGAAAGTAGTTCAGTGGGAGGGAGCCCTGCTCTGGCTTCTCTTTCTCCTTGGCTAAGAACAACTAACTCGTGGTAGAGTGTAGTTCCCCCACCCCCACCCCCGTGCTCCTTTTCAGCTAGGGTTCTAACTGGAGCTCTAATTTGCCCATACCTTCTTTCAGACACCACAGTCTCCCCTCCTCTGGTACATAGTCTGCCCCCCTTTTAGATAACCACAACTCCCCCACCCCCCCTCAGATAGTCACAGTCTCCTCCCCCTCTGGTGCCCCCCCCCCCAAAACCACAGTCTTCTCACTCTCTCTAGTGGATTTATAGCCTGTTTGGTCCTCTCCCTCCATCCTAAATTCTCTCTCTTTCTTCCTCATCCTCACCACACACACACACACACACACACACACACACACACACACACACTCCTTTGAAAGAAACTCAGTTATTAAAACTTTGGGGATAACTGATCTGTGATGAGGAGCATTTATGTTTCCAGAGCTCCAGAGTCTATGGCTAACCTCCAGGAGCAGTACCGTCACTTTTGTTCAGAAAACATACGGAAAGCTAACCCTTTTATACTGGATATACTCCAAAAACTGGATGAAGAAATTGAAAAGGGGTAAGGAAGATAAATATTCAGCTGTATCAAAAGTACTCACGGACCCTCCTGTCTGTGAAATCCAGGGGCTTTATTCCCATTTGAAGACGTAGCTTTTGATTTAGGGACCTAGGTAGACGTGTAAGGCTTTGAAATCCCAGGTGCAATATCTGAGGTTGGGGGGAGTACTGGGCCAGGAGCCCTCAAGCCAGAGCCCCCGTAGTTATCTTGGTTCCTGTGGCTGGGAGAACTCAGGCACATCCTTTGTTCTAATTGATGCTCTTGTTTCTGTTTTGTTTTGTCAACTTGACACAGTAGATTTACCTGGAAAGAGATGCCACAATTGAGAAAATGCCCCCACCGGATTGCCTGTACCAAAGCCAGGGGGGAAATTTTCTTGTTTAGTAGTGAATGTAGACGGGTTCAGCCCACTGTGAGTGGTGCCAGCCCTGGGCATGTAGTCTTGAGTGGTATAAGAAAGCTGGCTGAGCAAGTGATGGGATTAAAAAACGAACGCGCCACCTCTGGCTTCTGTCTGCTCTTGACTGTGGGTATGATGTAACCAGCTGCTTAAGGCTCCTTCCACTGCAAATTCTCTTCAAGGGTAGATGACTTGGAATCAAATGCTAAAACCAACACATTCTCCCTTAAATTTCTTTCTCTGGCCCCCACTTCTTTCCTTTTTTTTTTGTTTTTGTTTCTTTGTTTTGTTTTGTTTTGAGTAAGGGTTTCTCTGTGTAGCTCTAGATGTCCTGGAACTTGCTCTATAGGAGAGGCTGACACCCAAACCACAGAGATCTGCCAACCTCTGCCTTTGGAGTGCTGGATTAAGTGCACCAGCTGGGGCAGTGGTGGCACAAACCTTTACCCCCAGCTCTGAGGATGCAGTGGCAGGAGCCTGCGAGTTAGATGCCAGACTGGAGAGCCAGGGCTACACAAAGAACCCCTGTTTTGAAAAGCCAAAAAAAAAAAAAAAGTGTTCACCAACAGAGCCTGGGTCTTAAATATCTTTTTGTGGGGATGTTTTATTACAAGAGAAATAAAAAGCTGGACAGTGGGGTATATGAGAGAAATTAAATGGTGGGGAATTCAGCTATGTTAAAGTGATTTCTGACTTTCTGTGAAACTACTTTTCCCATGTGAAGGGTTTTTAACTCTTGTCTCATTGTCAACATTGTCTCCTCCTCACTTTTTCTGTCTTTTTGATTTTGGCAGGCCAGAAGAAGGAATCACATTAAATATTGCTGGTAATAACCGCTTAGTCCCAACACAAAGAATGACAGGTGAAGATTTTTGGCTTCTTTCCAAAGTTTTGGGTAACCAGACGTATATCACTGGTACGTATGCGTAAGAATGAACAGCATCTGCTTTTCATTTTCCTGATTTGAAGCATTCTTTGTAAGGAACACCGGTTTCTGTTCCCCCGTGTGTTTCAGGTCTGGATGTGAAGTATAACCTCATAGGTGATGTCGGTGCCTACTACGCTGCAAAGCTGCTTCAGGTATTACATTGCCACCAAACAGCCTCATCCGCCATTCTGCTGAGAGGAAGCCGTGTAGAAAATGGTACACAGGCAAACACTAAGCATGGAAACACAAGTGTCAGGTGTATGTCTGATTCTCAGAATGCATGGAAATCCACCTGTGTTTGGGCTCAGGAGAGCTGAGGCCTGGAGTTCCTGAGTTGTCTTTTGCAAATCTGTATGTACACCCTGGTTAAATACTCAAAGATGTCCATACGTTCAGTTGTTGGGGAAACTAAACCGAGTCTTTTCCTTTCGATGATATTGCAATTGCAGTGTTTGAAAGACGAGAGTTACAGAGAAACCCTGTCTCAAAAAAACAAAAAGGAAAAAAAAAAAAAGACAAGAGTGACTTCCTTTTGATTTTCTCCTTAACTAGTGATTGCCTTTGCTGGAATTCTGTTAGATTTTATATGGAGATATTTTGTTTGTTTGTTTGTTTATTTATTTATTTATTTATTTATTATGTATACAATATTCTGTCTGTGTGCATGTCTGCAGGCCAGAAGAGGGCACCAGACCTCTTTACAGATGGTTGTGAGCCACCATGTGGTTGCCGGGTATTGAACTCAGGACCTTTGGAAGAACAGGCAATGCTCTTAACCACTGAGCCATCTCTCCAGCCCCCTATGGAGATATTTTTAATTAAATAAATTGTGTGCATAGATTAATTGATTTCCAGTAATAAAAATGTAATAGCTCCTTTCTCTTCTTCTTATAGAAACAGCCATGCATCACTTACTTAAACCTTATGTTTAATGATATTGGACCTGAAGGTGGAGAATTGATTGCTAAAGCACTACATGTAAGCATTTATGTACCGCAAAGTTGTTTTTGATCTGTGAATTTTAACTTCTTGTAGTTTAGAAACAGCATAACCAAAGTTAATGTGAGCTTTATGTTATTTCAATTTTGGGTGGAGGTTTGTGACTGTGTGCGTGTGTGTGCATGCATGTGTGTATGCGTGAGTGTGAGCATGTGTGTATGTCTGTGTATGGGTGTTTTGCCTGCATACATGTCTCTGCACCACATGCATTCCTAGTACTTGCAGAAGCCAGAAGAGGAAGTCAGATCCCCAAGAACTAGAGTTACATATGGTTGTGAGATGCCTATGGGTGCTGGGAATCGAACCTGAGTCCTCTGGAAGCACAGGTTTTTTCAACTGATGAGCCATCTCTCCAGTCCCAAAAATTTATTTATTTTTTATGTGTATGAGCCTGTATATATGTGTACGCAGTGCCTGCAGAGGTCAGAAGAGGGCATTTGATCTCCTGGAACTGGAGTGGTAGGTGACCGTTACTATCATGTGAGTGCTGGGAACCAAGCTCAGGTCTTTTGTAAGAGCAGTGATAGCCCTTAACCATACAGACAGTTCTTTAGCTCCTTAAATAAATAATTTTAGTGTAGTTCAGTTTATAAAAGTGGCTCTTACTTAAGAGCTTTGGACTCATTAAAACATTACTAAACAGGGTTGGAGAGATGGCTCAGCAGTTAGGAGCATTGGCTGCTCTTCCAGAGGTCCTGAGTTCAATTTCCAGCAACATATGGTGGCTCACAACCATCCTTAATGAGATCTGGTGCCCTCTTCTGGTGTGCAGATCATTCTGTGGGGCTTCTGGGTTGTGCATGCAAGTATGAGAGGTGGAGTCTAAGTGATAATGGAAAGTTAGGGTGCTGGGCATGTTAGAAACATGGGATGTTTACTGAGGGAAGCTGCAGGCAGCAAGAGGAGCCAGCTCTTGAAAGAGGCCATAATTGGCCACAGAGAACAGAGCTGGAAGGGCAGAGACCTAACCCTAGTGGAGACCAGATGCTGGACATGCAGCCTCAGGTTGGATCTTGCTGTCATCCGTCTGCTCCTTCAATGTCCTCTTTTTTTTTTTAATATTTATTTATTTATTTATTTATTTATTTATTTATTTATTTATTTATTATGTATACAATGTTCTGTCTGTGTGTACGCCTGAAGGCCAGAAGAGGACACCAGACCTCATTACAGATGGTTGTGAGCCACCATGTGGTTGCTGGGAATTAAACTCAGGACCTTTGGAAGAGCAGGCAACGCTTTTAACCTCTGAGCGATCTCTCCAGCCCCCTCAATGTCCTCTTATACATATCTGTTGGAATGGGAATGGACACTGGAAGTGTGCAATTTCTCTCCTCATTTTACAGGGGCTCACAGTTGAGAGTACCTTCAGTCTCAGAGCAGATTTTTGATCTTGGACTTTAGTATGAAGTGGGAACTGCTAAGACTTAGGGAGAACTTAGAAATGAGATCACTGCGTGACGCTTACGAGATGGCCATGTGCCTCTGAGAAACGGTGATGGTGTCGCTTATAAGTGATGTGGTTAGGTTTCAAGTTGACAAAGAGTAGATTTATGTTTAAGGGTCACTGTCAACCTGACTGGACTTAGGATCATACAGGAGACATACCTCTGAGGTGTCTGTGAAGTAAATGCGGGAGGCACCGTTCCATGGGCTAGGGGATGTAGAGTGGATAAACTATGGAAAAGCCTGATGAGCCCCAGCATTCATCCCGCCTTGCTTACTGAGTGTGGTTGCAATGTGACCATCCACGTCACTATGCTATGATAAACTCCATCTCCAAATTGAACTGCAAGACTTTTCTTCCTTAAAAAATTAATAAAATCGATTGCAATGTAATTTGTATACACAAAGCATATTCTTCCAAAGTTTTCAACTCAAGCAAAGTGTATTTTGAGAGACTGGGAATGGTGGTACACAGAGGCAGGAGGATTTCTGTGACTTTGAGGCTGGTGTGGTTTACATACGGAGTCAGGCCAGCCAGGGTTACATAGTGAGACCCTGTCTATAAATAAGTTTATTTATAGAGTTGTGTAACCACCACCATTATTTTTAGAATATTTTTATGTGTGTGTATATGTATGTGATCACTCAGGGAGGGGTTTACAGGCATATGTGGGTACTTGTGCCTGTGTTCTTACATATGGAAGTCAGAACAGGAAGTCCAGTGTCTTCCTTTATGACCCCCGACATTATTGCCATAATAAACTTCTCAGGAAGTGGGAAGCCTTCCATTTAGATTAGGCTGGCTAGCCACTGAACACTCATGTGTCTCTGCACCTCTGTGTAGGAGTGTAGTAGGGAGGCTGCTTGTTTGCTTCCCGTCCATCCAGACTCCCAAATAACCACACAAAAACTGTATTGATTAAATCACTGCTTGGCCCATTTGCTCCAGCTTCTTGTTGGCTAAGTCTTACATCTTAATTTAACCCATTTCTATTAATTTGTGTATTGCCACAAGGCTGTGGCTTACTGGGTAAAATTCCAGCATCTGACTCTGGCAGGGCTACATGGCTTCTCTCTGACTCTGCCTTCCTTCTTCCTACCAGCATTCAGTTTAGTTTTCCCCGCCTAGCTCTGTTCTGCCCTGACAAAGGTTCAAAGCAGTTCTTTATTAGTCAGTGGTAATCACAGCATACAGAGGGGAACCCCACATCACTGGAGTTCCAGGCATGTGCAGCCGTGCTGGGGATTTGAACTCAAGTGCTCGCGTTTGCAGGGCAGTGCTTTCCTACCAAGAAACTATATTTAGGACATTCTTATAACCTCCACAGAAAACCCTTCTACTCCCAGCCTTTGTAGCCACTAACCATATACTTATTCTGATTATTTCATATAAATAGAATCATATGTGATATGACTTAATATTTTCGAGGTTCATTGATGTTGTAACACAGTTTGTCTGAATGCATGTCTGTGCACCACATGCTTGCCTGATGTACTGGGAGGCCAGAAGAGGGTGTCAGCGTCCCTGGAATTGGAGTTATGGATGGTTGTGAACTGCTATTTGGGTAATCAAACTTAGATCCTCTGGAAGGGCAGCCAGAGTCTTAACTGCTGGGTCATCTCTCCAGCCCCAAAACATATTTTTTATTGTTCAGTAATATTCCATGTTGTGGGTATATCACATTGTGCTCATCAGTTGATAGACATTTGAGTTTTCACTTTTAGCTATTATGAATGTTATTTTGCACCTTCATGTTTCTGTGTAGACAATTATTTTTGATTGGTGGAGGGGATATATAGAAGTACTTTATTGTCAGGACTGTCACCCCCCAAATAATGACACAGAGACTTATTAATAATTATGAAAGCTTGACCTTAGCTTAGGCTTTTTCTCACCTAACTCTTATAGCTTAAACAACCCATAATTTAATCTATGTTCTGCCATGTGACTTAGTTACCTCTCCTCAGTGTGGCATGTCCAATTTGCTCTGCTATAGGCCCAAAGCAGTTCCTTTATTAACCAATGAAGCAACGCATAGACAGAAGGACCTCCTGCACCACAGAACTGTATAGGCTAAGCTGGTCTCAAACTCAGAGATATGCCTGCCTCTGCTTCCTGAGTGCTGGGATTAAGGATGCTTATTACCACACTTGGCTTGGAATTCTTTTCTTTTCTATTTTTTTAGTTTTTTATTATTTTTTAAATTTTTTATTGGTTTTATTGAGCTATATATTTTTCTCCGCTACCTCCACTTTTTCTCCCCTTCCCTTCAGCCCTCTCCCATGGTCCCCATGATCCCAGGAATTATTTTCTTAACATTACTTGGGGTCATTCATTTCTAGAATAGAGAAATAGAATTGATTTTAGGTAAGTCTTGCATTTTGCTCTCCCTGGACTTATCAGTTTGAACAGCTTTTTGGGGTGGACCACTTAGGACTTTCCATGTATGGTGTGAGACCATGTGGATCCTTTCCTTACTTACAGCCTCTGGATTTAATTTTGGTGGTTCCCATGTGCCTAAGAACATTCATTTTTTCCCCCAGACTTTCCAATTTGTTGGAATATGCTTTCAACATATTCCTTAAGAATCTTAGATTTCATCTTGTTGTAACAAACCTTTTCCATCACTAACTTCATAGAGTGTTCTCTTTCTTCTCGTTAGTCTGGCTAAGAGTTTGTTCCTCTTGTTCAACTTTTCAAAGAATCAACTTTTTGTTTAGTGGAGTCTATGGATTATCCTTTTAGTGTCCATTTCATCACTTTTGGATTTGGGTTGTTCTTGCTTTTCCGTGTGTGTGTGTGTGTGTGTGTGTGTGTGTGTGTGTGTGGAGGCCAGAGGTTGATGTTATGTCTTCCTCTATCACTGGCCACCTAATTTTTCTGAGATAGGTTTTCTGAGCCTAGAGCTCATTGTATCTGGGCCTTCCACTTTATGTCCAGTAGTGTTTGTTATACAGTATATTTGAATCACTGTATCTTCTTGGTGGAGTGTTCCCTTTATGATTATGTGGGGTCTCTGTCTTCTAAGTTTGGCCTGAAGGCCACTGTTTCTGAAATTATTTTCAGTGTGTACTTGCTTCTTAGATGGTGTTCAGTCTTGTGCCATTGCTAACGAGGTGAGCTACTTTCAGACAACAGTTGGATTTTTGCTTTTAAGATTTATTTGTTTTTATTTTGTTTTATTTTTTCCTGCATTTGCTGCTCTTGCATGAAACCTGGATTCTGTTCCCAGCACCAACATAGCAACTCATAACTGACTTTAACTCTAGTTCCACGGGATCCAACATCCTCCATTGGTCTCCATGGGCACCAGGCACATACATGGTGCAAGTACATACATGCAGGCAAACACCCATACACATAATATAAAAATGGGAGTTGGGGATATATCTCAATGGCAGAACATTTGCCAAACAGCAGTTCTCAACCTTCCTAGTGCTGCGACCCTTTAATACTCCATGGCATGGGGACCCCAACCATATAGTTATTTTGTTGCTGCTTCATAACTGCAATTTTGTTACTGTTATGAAACACAATGTAAACATCAGGTATGCAGGATATCTGATATGTGAACCCTGTGAAAGGGTCTTTTACCCTCTGGAGTCTCGACTCACAAGTTGAGAACGACTGGCCTGGCACATGTGAGACACTGGTTTCGATCCTTAACAGACACAGACACATGCACATACACACACACAGACACACACACACAGACACACGCACATACACACACACAGATATCCAGACACACACAGACACACACACACATACACACAGACACATGCACATACACACAGACACACACATACACACAGACACACACACATGCACACACACAGACATACAGACACATAGACACACACATACACACACAGATGCACAGACACACACAGACACAGACACACATGTACAGAGACATACACACATACAGACACACACAGATGCACAGACAGACATACACAGAGACACACACACGCACATACACACATACACACAGACACATGCACACACAGAGACATACAGACACATACACACAGACACACACACAGATGCACAGACAGACACACACAGACACAGAGACATACACACATACAGACACACACACAGGCACACACACGAGTAATGTGGGACATGGGGAAGGACAGTGGATACAGGGCAGCTTTCAAGGGATGACGGGAAGTGTTCGGGAACTAGTTAGAGTGTTGGCTGCGCAGCCTGGTGACTGAAGGCAGTGCATCGAACACTGTAGAACAGTCAGTTCATCGAACACTGTAGAACAGTCAGTTCTTGCCATGTGAATTTCAGCTCAGGAATATGCTTTCCTTATGAAACAGACCTACAGAGTTTCCATGAAAGCTCATTAAAATCCCCCATTTCCTGGGTGTTTGTTGCTTGGTCATCTTTTAAAAAATACTCAGCTATTATGAGAAATTAGATGTTACTTTTTCAGAATATATCTTACTCTTTCTCTATAAAAATGAAATTTCAGATAGTAATACGACCTCCTGACTCATTTAATTGAGAATTTTGTGGATTCAAATTTAAGCAACTAAGTTTTTTTTTTTTTTTTTTTTTTCCCCAGAAAAACAAAACTCTCAAATACTTGAGGATGACGGGAAATAAGATTGCCAATACGGGTGGCATGTTTTTTGCTGCCATGCTGCAGATTAACTCGTCCCTGGAGAAACTGGACCTGGGCGACTGCGACCTGGTGAGCCGGTTCACGCAGTGGGTTCTTCTCCCAGGGGAACAGCGCAAGAAGCTAGAGGATGGGTTTCTTCTAGTTTGTTCCCGAGCAAAGGTCTCACCATGTAGCCCAAGCCAGCTTGAATTCAGAGTTCTCCTGTCCCTGTTTCCCAAGTGCTGGAACTGTATGCATATACTGCTATCCTGACAAGATATTTATCAATGGGTACTCTACCCCGTGGGAAATGTGGTTTTCCATTCACACGGTGATGTGGACTGTTAATCAGGTTATAGGGACTGTAGAGATGGCCCAGCACTTAGAAGCATTTACTGCTTTTACAGAGGACTGTTCCAAGCACCCATGTGGCAGCTCACAACTATCTGTAACTCCAGTTCTAAGGGACCTGGTGCCTCCTCTGGCCTCATTGACACTATATATTCATGGTACACATACATACATGTAGGCAAGACACTTGTACATAAAATAAAGTTTTAGACATCATATTAAACACAGAATTAGATAACAACTAGCATAATAAAGAGATGTCTAAACTCTAAGCATAACTCATCTTAACCTATATGTGACTTACAGGAAAAGACAGGCTCACTTACATTCAACAAATACCACTCCACCGGTATTAATATAAATTTCCTCTGACAGAAACTATTTCACAATGAAGACATTGTCCTGGGAAAGCTGTGTTGAGGCTAAAAGCTGCTCTGGAGGCTTCATCCACCAGATAATAAGACCTGCATTTTTTGCATGCCTTCAAATTCTAAATTGCACTTTTCTTGATCATGCTTTCGAATCTTGAGACCTTTAAAACTGTTGTATGACCTCCGATTAATGCCACATTAGCAGGACACAAAATCTGCAATGGGTTGGAAGGGTTTTTTTTTTTTTTAAAGGTTTTTATTTATTATGTATACAGTGTTCTGTCTGCATATATGCCTACTCGCCAAAGAGAGCGCCAGACCTCATTACAGATGGTTGTGAGCCACCATGTGGTTGCTGGGAATTGAACTCAGGACCTCAGGAAGAGCAGTCAGTGCTTTTAACCTCTGAGCCATCTCTCCAGCCCCTTTTTTGTGGTTTTTCGAGACAGGGTTTCTCTGTAGCTTTGGAGCCTGTCCTGGAACTAGCTCTTGTAGACCAGGCTGGCCTCAAACTCAGAGATCCACCTGCCTCTGCCTCCTGAGCGGAAGGACGTTTTTAAAGGTAAATGTAGCCCGTATAATTCTGGGAAGCAGTGAATCAAGGGTCACTCTTTACACACCAGTCACTGGAGATACTAAAAGGTTGCAACCATGAATCTGAGATAGTCTCTGCCCTCATGAGGGTTTGTAGTTTACTCGGGAGAAATGTCCAACAGAGGAAAGTACTTTGAAGGAAACCAGCTACTCCGATGTTGGGGAGGAGGTAATTTTGTTTGATGAGATGGATGTCTGACACCTGAGGAGGTAAGATTTAGGAGTCAGGAAGCCTGGGGTTACAGAATGAATTCAAGACCAGTTTGGACAGCTTCACCAGGCCTTGTCTCAAAATAATAAAAAAAAAAAAAATAAATAAAAAGGGCTGAGTTTGAGTCCACATGTTGCATGCATAAGAGCTTAGGCTCGGTCCTCAGTACTACAATAAATAAAACCCAAGCCGGGCAGTGGTGGCTCATGCCTTTAATCCCAGCACTTGGGAGGCAGAGGCAGGCGGATCTCTGTGAGTTCGAGACCAGCCTGGTCTACAAGAGCTAGTTCCAGGACAGGCTCCAAAACCACAGAGAAACCCTGTCTCGAAAAACCAAAAATAAATAAATAAATAAAACCCAAATGAACAGGGTGTAATTAATTAGACAGCAAAACAGTACCAAACTCCTCCCACATTAAGCTATAAGAGGTCACAAGGGAGGTGGGTGCGTGAGCAGAGTTAGGAGTGCACTCAAGAGCAGAAGTTCATGGTAAGGTTGTGGGGGCAGAGAATGGGACATTGATATAAATGTGAATCATGGGCAGGCTTGAAGCTGAGGGACATAATCTGACACAGTTTCTCTGAGGAAAGTTGAGGGCAGCAAAGAGAAGCCAGTGGGCCACTGGGAGAGCTGGGGCAGCCGTCCGTGTTTGCGGCAAGGGGTGCTTGGGCAGGTGTAGCAGATATTCAGAGATGAGCTGATCGGAGGCTTCTTTTGGAGGCAGGTGTTCAGACCATTGACCAACTGGATGAGAGGTGGTGAGAGAAAGCTATTTACCAGCATCACAGGCTCTGTGTATGTGTGTGTGTGTCCATCACAAAGGTGAGAGAGGGCAGGCCCTCCAGTGAGAGAGTTGGAGAGACCTTCAGGAGCTATAAAAAGTGTTTTAATGGGGCTGGAGAGATGGCTCAGAGGTTAAGAGCATTGCCTGCTCTTCCAAAGGTCCTGAGTTCAATTCTCAGCAACCACATGGTGACTCACAACCGAGGTCTGGTGCCCTGTTCTGGCCTTCAGGCATACACACAGACAGAACATTGTATACATAATAAACAAACAAACAAACAAACAAACAAATAAATGTTTTAATGACCTACCCAGTTGCACTTACATAATGTACCTATAAGAATGTAAAAAACATGCCTGCACAGGATGTATACATATGAGACTTAGCTGCGGTCCACGGGTCTGTCTCTTCATTTGTGAGGAGCCTAAAGGACTTAGGAACAAGCCCAGGGTCACACCTAGGAAATGGGCACTGAAATGTTAGGAACTCCCCTATGCACGCGGCAGACTTTAGGGTGGGGTGGAGGAATACGGCAACAACTCAGTTCTGAGAAGGGATGTTTTAACTTTTGTACAAACCATTTAATCAGAACTCAGATAGTTATCTTGCGATTGTAATGCGGGGAGATTGATACACTGTCAACTTCCTCGATCGATTTGCCTGTTTGTAGGGACTGCAAAGCGTGATAGCATTTACCACAGTGCTGACTCAGAACAAAGTGATCAAGGCGATAAACCTGAACCGACCTATACTGTATGGAGAACAGGTCAGTATGCAAAGTGATGACACTGTGCACTGGACTAAGGTCCAGCTGGGGTTTATGGTGCATGAATACACTGCATTCTTAGAACTTTAATACTTGTAAAAGTATTAAAGGAAAATTATGCCACTTCTTGGTGACTTGCAAGTATTTAGCTTCTGGTACTTAGGCAGCAAGCTTGTGAAACTTAGGTTCTGTGTAAACCTGTGTACGACAGTTAGGTGAAAGAGAGTATGTATGCTTGAAGCCATGTGGGAAGCCCAGTCTCCACTGTTTTATCATTTGCTGTATTGATATGGCTCAACCATTACATCTTGAAACAACGCAAGTGCATGTATAGTTTGGCAAGTCTGAACTTGATCCCGTCTATAGATTAAGGCTCTTGTTGGAGGAAGATGACCATGTGGCTGCCTTTCCCCACATCATTTTGGGTGAGATTCTTCTCCTTAAGGAAATAAGAACTTGGATTGGCAAGATGTTTCAGGGACTAAAAAGTTCCTGCTGCCAAACCTGACGACCTGAGTTGAAGGTCAGGGTAGAAGAACAGAACTGATTCTTGTCTGCTGTCCTCTGACCCCCACATGCACACTGTGACATGTGCACGCACACGTATGCTCACCCCCTCTGATAAAATGAAAAATTCAGCCGGGCGGTGGTGGTGCACACCTTTAATCCCAGCACTCGGGAGGCAGAGGCAGGCGAGTTCGAGGCCAGCCTGGTCTACAAGAGCTAGTTCCGGGACAGGCACCAAAACCACAGAGAAACCCTGTCTCAAAAAACCAAAAAGAAAGAAAAGAAAAATTCATAAAGAATAAGAACCCTTAAAGCAAAGAAAACTAGCCTACAATTCACAATCCCAGAGAACCTAGACAACAATGAGGACTCTAAGAGAGACATACATGGACCTAGGCTACATGAGAAGTAGAAAAAGACAAGATTTCCTGAGTAAATTGGGAGCATGGGGACCTTGGAAGAGGGTAGAAGGGGAGTAGAAGGGAATGGGGAAAATATATAGCTCAATAAAACAGAACAAAACAAAAACAGTAAGAACCCATTCTTTTACAGGTCTCAACAGAGGACAAAAGAAAGGCCCGGAGCATTTTATCTGGTTCAAACAATGCACTTATGGGCCACTGTTCAAATAAACCTTGAACTTTCAAAGTATCATCCGTAATTTAAAATCACCTGTACTGTTGTTCCTCCTCCTGTCACTGAGGATGCAGCACATTTTAAAGTGCTGTTTTTCGCGTTTGGCTCCTGCAAGCACCAGACACACTCATGGTGCACAGACACACTCATGGTGCGCAGACACACTCATGGTGCGCAGACACACTCATGGTGCGCAGACACACTCATGGTGCGCAGACACAAGCGCCAAAGCATGCACACACACAAATAAGTCTAAACAATTTTTTAAAAAGATGAGGAAAGTACTGTGACTTGTTCACAAAGTATGTTACATGGACTTCTTAACAAAATTGCTTTGGATAAAAACTTAAAATTACTTGGTGTTGATCATCCCTGAGGAGGAAATATGTGTGCACATGCATGCCCTTCGCCTAGTGACATCTAGATTGTAAACTTTAGAACTGAGCAGACCTATTCCATAACTTTAAACGACTATAAAAGGATGGAAGGCGGGCAGATAAAGCAGAGCTGAGGGTCTCAAAACAGAATAAGACTGAGAAATATCTGGGTCTTAAGCCATCAAGATGATGATCGGTGACAAAGCCAGGGAAATACTACGGGAATGGGGGAAGGTTTACACAAATAAGATATACAAATTGCTTTGTTGGTTTTCCTCTAAAAAATAACTATTATTGTCACTGTAAACCAAATTACCCATCCTCTTTTTCTGTCACTTAGTTACTACTTTTTACAAGTTCCTGCTACTCATCTAAGAAGGTACACATTTCATTTGGAACCTCCACATGGCAGTACACGTCACAATCCCAGTACTCTTGGGAGGTCGAGGTAGGATGATGAGTTCCCAGGCCAGCCCAGGCTACTCCGTGAGACCTGGTCCACTCCCTTGTGCACACACACACACACAAACAAATACACACACAAACATACACACGAGTACACACACACACACAAACACACAAGATGATCTGAGGCAGTAGATGGTTTTATTTTTTTTAAAAAAAGATGTCAAGTGCAAATATGGCAGTCTTTTTTGTTGTGTGTATGTGTGTCTGTGGTATGTGATTGTGTGTGCCTGTGAGGGTGTGTGCAGATGTCCAAGGAGAATGCCAGAGGTCTTCTTAATTTACTGTCTGCATTATTGCCTTCAGACAGGGCCTCTTACTGAACAAAGCTCACTGTTTGGACATGAGCTCCCATGATCCTATCCTTACCAGCCAACAATGAGGTTTCAGGAATATATATGGTCATGCCTGGCTTCTATATGAATACTGGTCCTTATTACCCAGTGAGCCATATCTCTAGCCCTAAACTAAGAGTCTTAATAGAATGTTTGTTTTGGTTTTTTTTTTTTTTTTGAGACAGGGTTTCTCCATGTAGCCCTGGCTATTCTGGAACTCACTCTTAGACCATGCTGGCCTTGAACTCATAGAGATCTGCCTGCCTCTGCCTCCCAAGTGCTGGTACTAAAGGTGTGACCACCACTGTTCAACCTTCCTATATTTTTTTCTTTGTGTTTTTGCTGCTGGTTTGGTTTTGGCTTTTGGAGACAGGGTTTCTCTGTGTAGCCCTAACTGCCCTAGAATTCACTTTGTAGACCAGGCTGACCTCGAACTTACAGAGATCTGCCTGCCTCTGCCTCCTGAGTGCTGGAATTAAAGGCATGTGCCACCACCGCCCGGTCTAGTTTTGCCTTTAATGTAATATTTTTAACAAGCTAATTTAAGGCCAGATGTGGTGGCATACACCTGTAACCACCAGTCCTCAGGAGGCTGGGCAACAGAGCCCTAGCTATATAACGACACCCTGTACCAAGAAACAGAACAAAACAAAATTCTACCTAACGTCAAGAATATATATGCGCTTGAAATGGAAAAGTAATATTTCAAACTCAGAAAAGATCTTACCTATTTTTAGGAAGAGTCTACAGTTCACATGGGCCACATGTTGAAAGAAAATCACTTCCTTGTTGAGCTGCACATGTGTAAACATGACATGAAAAACTTTGGCCTGCAGCAGCTGTGCAGTGCACTGACTCTGAACAGCAGCCTGCGCTACCTTGATGTCAGCTGGTGAGCGTTAATTTACATGGTAATGCAAAGATTCAGTCTTGGGGATACGCTACACAAATGTGCATACATGTCAGACACTTTTCAGTGACTATCAATCATAACTGTTGGTCAACTTTATTGTAGGCTGTATTAGGTTAGCTTATACTGTAATACATCTGTGATAACTTGATTGCTAGACAGGTGGGAGCATTATTTCATGGAGATTTTTTTTTAAATGTTGGGATGGTTAATTCTTTTAAAGATTCACTTATTTATTATATACAGTGGTCTGACTGTGTGCATGCCTGCAGGCCAGAAGAGGGCGCCAGATCTCATTACAGATGGCTGTGAGCCACCATATGGTTTCAGGGAATTGAACTCAGGACCTCTGAATGAGCAGTCAGTGCTCTTAACCTTTGAGCCATCTCTCTGGCCCCTCATGGGGAGTTTTTATTTTTCGAAGTTCAGCAAACAGAAAATAAAAAGCTTACTATATGGTCTCAAGTATTTTATGAATATAAGAATACTCCTTTGTGTTTTTAAAATATTGCTAAATATGCTTCCTTCCCCAGCAATAAAATAACTCGCGATGGAATGGTGTATTTGGCCGAGGTACTGAAAAGCAATACTACCCTGGAAGTAATAGATCTTTCTTTTAACAGAATAGAAAACGCAGGTGCAAAGTACCTCAGTGAAACTCTAACTTCCCACAACAGGAGTCTTAAAGCGTTAGTATGGCTTTTATATTTAATCAAAATAAGTAAAAATTCTAAGTAGTATATTTTAAAAATTGGGTGAATCTAATAGGGTAATTGTGTATTCAAGGTCATAAGAAAAAAAATCTTTATTTCTCCTTTTATTTATGCATATGTGTCCTCACATGCACCGAATGTGTACACAGAGGCCCAAGAGGGAATCACAGCCCTGGACCTGGAGTTAAACCTGCTGCGAGCTGCCCGAGGCAGATGCTGGGAACAGAGCCTCGGTCCTTTCACAAGCGGCAGATGCTCCAAGCTAAGCCATCTCTCCAGCCCCGAAAACTCTTATTTATCCTGAATTCTAACAAAAAAAATCATAAGTATTTAACACAATACTTACATATGTAATGTATTAATGTAGTCAAACATTTACCAAATAGGGGTTGAAGAGATGACTTAGTGCATAAGAGCACTGAGTTAAGGTCCCGAGTTCAGTTCCCAGCAACAGGGTGACTCACAACCTTCTGTGAGATCTGGTGCCCTCTTCTGGCAGGCAGCCATACATACAAAGCACCCAAATGCATAAATAAATCTTAATGAAGGGGGGGGGGGATCAGGCTAATTTCAAAATGTTGGAACCATTCCTGGGCCCATGACACATTTAATAGAAAATGGGTTGCCTGGATTAAAGGACCTAAACAGCCAATATTTGGATGACCACATTAAAACCTGCTAATAAGATGGAGTTAAGAAGTGCTGATGCTGACTTAAGATTGTTTGTGGGATTTCAGAATTCCATGATTATTTTCTTTCAACAGATTGTCCATAGTGAGCAACAAGATAGAAGGTGAAGGGCTCGTTGCACTTTCACAGTCGATGAAAACAAACCTCGTATTATCTCATATCTACATTTGGGGGAATAAATTCGACGAGGCTACATGTGTGGTAAGTGTTTTCAATTCAGACTTTTGCTGGGCTCTCCAATACCTCTAAGTTCCTTTTATATGTGGATGCAAAGAATGGTGTCACAGTATACTTTGGGCAATTTTTAACTTAAACTGTAACAAAGTCGCTGCTCGGAAAGATAGCAGATACTCTGTACAGGTGTTAAGGATCACCGAGTCAGTTTCCAGTTCCTCCAAACGAGAACAGAAATTACACCTGATTTGATGTAGCAAAGTTCCTCCTGTATCAACACAAAGAATAGGACACTGTAGAGGCTGTGTAGCACTTAGTGTTCTGAATGTGAACCCGAGTCCTTCACACTACTTACCTACGCCTAACCATCCCTGCATTTCTGGAATGGCGCCTACTTAATCGTGGTGGGTGGACTTTGTGCTCTTTGTTGGTTCTTTGTGTGGTTTAGGTATCAGGGTAAATGTGTCCTTGTAGAAAAGGATTAGACAATGGCCCTTCTATTAGCGAGACAGAGCATTGGCATTAATTCTTCCTTGAAAGTCTGTGCTGAATCCATCTGGCCCTGGGCTTTTTTGTTGTTGTCGTTGTTGTTAGGGGACATTTTAACCAAAAAGATTGGTTTATGTATTTTGTGTATAAGGTTGTTTTATCTGCATGTATGCCCACTGGAAGAGAGCGCTGGTTACCGTGGGTGGGACTACAGTTACAGACGGTTGTGAGCTGCCTTGTGTGTGCTGGGAATTGAACTCAGAACATCTAGAAGAGCAGCCAGGGCTCTTAACTGCTGAGCCATCTATCTCTCCAGGTCCAGCTTGGAGACTTAATTACTGCTTCTATTTTACTGCGGGCTATAGGTCTGTTTAAAATGATCTTGATTTAACTTTGGTATATGGTACATATGAAAATTATCTGCTTCTTTTAAATTTTCCAATTTCCTGGAGCACAGATATTTCAAGTGTGTACTTACGATTTTCTAAATTTCTTTGGGATCAGTATCTTTTCATCTCTAAATTTATTACTTTGGATCTCCTCTCTCCACCTTTTAGTTAATTTAACAAGGGTTTCAGTCTTACTGATTGTCTTAAAGAACCAATTCTGTCTCATTGATTGTGTTGGTTTTTTGTTTGTTTCTCTTTTATTGATTTCAACCCTGAGTCTATTTCCTGCCACCTAGTCCTTTTGAATGCTATTTTTTTTTCTTTTTGTTCTAGAGCCTTCAGGTGTGCTAAGTTACTAATGAGATTTCTCCAATTTTTTGATGTAGGCATTTAGTGCTATGAACTTCCCTCTTATAGCCTCTCCTTCATTGTGCTCCATAGATTTGGGTATGGTGTTTTCATTTTCATTCAATTCTTTTTTTTTTTTTTTTTTTCGAGACAGGGTTTCTTCTGTAGCTTTGGAGCCTGTCCTGGCACTAGCGCTGTAGACCAGGCTGGTCTCGAACTCACAGAGATCCGCCTGCCTCTGCCCGAGTGCTGGGATTAAAGGCGTGCGCCACCACCGCCAGGCTATTTTCATTCAATTCTAAAAAGTTTTTAATTTCCTTTTTGATTTCTGTCTTGACCTACTTTTCATTCAGTAGCAAGTTATTCAGTTTCCATGAATTTGCAAACTTTCTGTTGTTGTTGATATAGCAGTAATTCATAGTGGTCCGGCAGGACACAGGATGGTATTTCAAATTTTTTTGTATCTGTTGAGACTCGTGTTGTGTTCGAGTATGTGGTCTGCTTTGGAAAAAGTTCCATGAGCTGCTGAGAATCATGCTCCCTTTGAGACAGAAAGCATAGTGGAAAAAAAAATCTCTCATTTGAAAGGAGAAGAGGAAAATAGCGTAAGATTTGTAGAAGGAATGGCCAAAAATAAAAGTGCCCTAAAAACCTACCCAGCATCTTCAGAGAAATACTCGTGTCCTCTGGGAGTCCGCACAGCACAAGCTACGTAAACTATGCAGCCAAAAGTAATGAATTTCTGTTGGAGAAAGCAAAACCAAACTTGGAAATCTTTTCATGTCAAAATTTCTCCCATTTTTCTACAATGGCAACTTTATTGACAAAACAGCTCATAAGAGTGTATGACACAATTAAGACCAAGAAGCCATAGGGACACACAAAGAAAACTCTACAATAATTCTTTTAGTGTAGGTCACATCTAATACTATGGAATTGTCTTTTCTTAAAACTAAACTTCCATATTGACTTCGGGGGACTCATCTGAACTGAACTCCATATGGGGCTGTTTATTTATGGTTTGTTTGTTTATTCTGAGGTGTGAGGTCCTACTAATCATCAGATTTATTTGAGGAAGGCAGGATTTTGCTATGCAATCAGCTGGGCTTGAACTCAGCCATCCTCCTGCCTCAGCTTCTGCAGAGCTGAGAATACAGGCATGTGCCAGCACATGGGGCTCCCCACTCTGCCTATCACCACTTCTTAAGGGTACATGAAAAATGTGACCATGGATCACAAAATTACCATTACAGGGAATTAACTAAGATTCACAAGGACTTACATATGAAAGAATGCCTTACTTACATGGTAAAACTGAGAAATCAGTTTTATAACATTATGCTTTCATTATGTACAAATAATACAATTTACTTATATCAAGAATAATACTGAAATTCAGCAATGTTATTAAGAATATTTTATTTATTATTTTTTGGTTTTTTGAGACAGGGTTTCTCTGTAGCTTTGAAGCCTGTCCTGGAACTCACTCTGTAGACCAGGCTGGCCTTGAACTCACAGAGATCCTTCTGCCTCTGCCTCCTGAGGGCTGGAATTAAAGGCGTGCGCCACCATTGCCCAGCAAAGAATTTTTATTTTAATCTACAAAATAGCACAGCTAAATTGATTATGTGTTTACACAATCACTGTAAACTGAATAAATGATATTACTAATGACAGTTTTCTAAAAATCCTAGGCGTATTCAGATTTGATGGAGAGTGGCCGGCTAAAGCCAGACAGTACAGATGTGGAGCCATATGTGGTGGATGGACGTGTCTACCTCGCAGAGGTCTCCAATGGCCTTAAAAGGCATTACTACTGGTCACCAACTTATGGCAATGCTTACGAACACTCGTCTAACGCAGGCTTTGCTCTTGTTCCAGTTGGGCAACATCTATAAGAAACAAGCGTGAAAATCGTTCTCATACACTTGCCTCATCATTTTGAGAGACTAATATTTTATAGTCTATTTTTCTTCTATAAATTAGAACAAGTTATTTTTATCAAATTTGTTAAACTCTGTGTACTTTCCCCTTGTTGAGAAAAAACTGATTCTTAATACAGAGACTAAATAATCAATCCAAAGAAACCATGGAGCTATTCTAATTCTTTTTATAATGAAAAACAAGTAACAAACACACACACAAACACAGACAATAGAATAATAAGCAAAGATCACTAAAGACATCTTAACCAAAGTGTATGGCAGAAAAGATGCAGCTCAGAAACTCCCAGTGGATTTCAGGAGATTCCCAAGTTCAAAGTTCAAAAGTATTCCACACAGACTGTTAGGCATTGCAGACAGGTGTCAATACCAATAAAACAAGAAAATAGAAAGCTTCCTTGCAAAGACAGTGGCTATCCTGGGTTTATACTCCCTTTCTGTGTCTGGCTCTTGTTCACTCACTATTAGTGCAATCCACTGTTATCAGTGTTAACTGTAACCCATCTTACTGCCCTGGAGAAGCATTCCATCATATGCCAAGTGAGGGTCTACTGAGTCAGTCAAGAGATGGCCTTTCAGGGTTAGATACTCAAATCCCTTAGCAATGCAGTTTGCTTTCTCAGGTCTCGGTCTACTCCTAGGTGCTACAGTAGGGCTCTCACGAGATGGGTACAGATGACCAACCTGCATTTGGACCTATACTGAACTACTAAAAACGGCATCTTAATGAGCAGGCCACACGTCACTGGAGTGAGGCCAGCTCAGCAGACATCTACTGGTTCTGGGAAGGAACCAGTCATTTTTTTTTTTTTTTAGGAAAGTTTTGATGATGCAATTTTATAGGTTATTTGTTGGTTCCCGGCTGCCCAGACCCAAAATAATCACACAAAAACTATATGAATTAAATCAATTCTTGGCCCATTAGCTCTAGCTTCTTATTGAATAACTCTTACATCCCATTTCTATTAATCTGTATATCACTATGAGGTTGTGAGCCTATCAGCACGTCTATCTCTGGTGGCAGCTCCATGGCATCTCTCTCACTCCGCCCTTCTTTCTCCCAGCATTCAGCTTAGTTTTTCCCGCCTAGCTAAATTCTGCCTTTCTATAGGTCCAAAGCAGTTTCTTACTCATTAATGGTAATCACAGCACACAGAGGGAAATCTCACATCATTGTTTACTACCTCAGAGGCCAGCAGAATGCTCAGACCCATTTATTCTGCTATTGTCATTTAGGCCCCTTTCTACATCTGGATACCATCTGAGAGATAAGACAGAAAGCGTTCTTCCAAAAGATGAGCAGGCCAGTGAGAGCAGGCTAAGCTGCTGCTTCCCTCTAGGCTAACCCTTAGTTACCTTAGTCAGGCAAGGGCTTGAGGAGATATACAAGTTCCGCAGGAGAACTCCACTTCCTCTCTACATCTTATACTGAATAAAATTACAACGTATCATAACTTCTACTTCCCTTTTAGCAATCATCTTCTGAGATCCTGCTTAAATATAGCTGATTAAAGTCATGAGTCACATTATACTAATAATGATTTAACTCTGAAGGCAAAAAGTTAAGTGCCACACCTTAAAAATAATATGAAGACAAAATAGAAATCACTGAGAAACACTTCAACGTTTCAACACTTAGTCATCAGAGATGCGAATTAAAACAACCTTGAGATTTCATCTGATACCACTCGGAATAGGCAAGATCAATAAAACACAATAGCTCATGCTGCTGAGGATGTGGGATAAGGGGAGCACTTATTCACTGCTGCAGGGAGTGCAACAATGCTGTCTCAGCTACCATGGAAATCAGTGTGGTGGTTCCTCAGGAAGCTATACCTGGAAATCCGATTTGCCACATTCGGGCATATACCCAAAGGACTCTACATCCTACTACAGAGACACTTGCTCAAGCATGTTTGTTGCTGTTCTATTCATAATGGCAGAAACTGAAAACAGCCTAGATGTCCATCAACAGATGAATGGATAATGAAAACATGGTGTATTCATCCAACAGAATACTACTCAGATGATAAACAGTACAAAATCCTCAGGTAAACAGACGGAGCTAAGAAAAACGTCATGCTGACTTCCAAAAGATAAACATGGTATGTTTATCTTACATGTTATGATGGCTGCTCTGGACTGTCAACATGTGGATTTAACTAAACCTCAAGCACCTGGGCACACTAGAAGGGATTTTTCTTAATTATACCATTTGAAGTCAGAAGATCCACCTTAAATCTGGGCCACAGATTATATAAAGGACATGAAAGAAGGACACTTTTGCTTTTTGCCTGCTTGACCTCACTCTTGCAGGCAAGTTCATTCCTTCACTGGTATTAAAGTGTACTTTTTCAGGATTCTGAGACAGCATTGTTGAACTAGCTAGGCCACAGTCTGTAAGCACTCAAATAAACCCCATATATATTTTGATATACATATGAAACACACACACACACACACATATATTCATTCTATCAGGTGTTTTCCTAGAGAACACATAAGTGAAATTTAGCTTAAAAGTCTGTGATACGTGTGCTATAACCCAGAGAACCAGACGTTAGGTATCAAGTAAGGGATTAGTGGGGAGGAGAGGATCTCCCAAAGAAGGAGAAATAGAATATACTGTTAAGAAGAGATGGCAGTGGGAGGGGCCTAGAGTGGGAGGACTGACTGGGAAGGGGTGGGCGAGGAAGAGAGAGGCGAAGGAGGGACAGCTAACACTAAGAACCCCACTACTATAGAAACTTCTTAAAACATATACATTCATGAAAGAAGTCTAAATGAAGTCACCGAACAGGAGAGAGAATGCCCCAACTAGACATATTCTACCACCAAGTGAAACTTCCAGTTCCAGGGATGGATTAGATACAATTCAGTTGTCGGCCAGAGGGTCCTATGGAGACCCCCAAACAACTCAAGCGACTTCAGACTATTGGTTACTCTCTACAAACTGATGGTAAGGCCCTATTGCAGCAGACAGCACCCACCGTCATGAACACTCCTAGCTGTAGGGTTTCCCCATACTGATGAGCATTCATGGCACTAGAATGCCCTCTGCATACCACCTCAGGAGGAAGACGACTCCGCGGGAACAGTATCCTCCAGATGCAACAGGTCTGGTGCACACAAGAATTCAAAGGCTGGCAGTACTCACAGGGCCTGCACAGTTAAAGTCAGACAGGGTCCCAGCGCTGAGAGAGGCAGCAGATGGGCTCACACCCCTAACCAAGAAGCTACCCGCTACCAACACCCACTCACCTCAAGACAGGCCCCGCGCCCAGTACTAGATGGCCGACACAAAAAGCTATCAGGAGGCTGTGTGGTGGTGGTGCACGCCTGGAATCCCAGCACTCAGGAGGCAGAAGCAGGTGGATCTCTGTGAGTTTGAGGCCAGTGTGGGCTACAAAGCAAGTTCCAGGACAGCCAGTGCCGTTAACAGAGAAACCCTGTTTAAAAACACAAACAAACAAACGTACAAAAACTTATATGGTTTTTTGTTTTTTTGTAGACTGTCTCAAATTGATTTTTTTGGGTATTTTCTGTCTTATTTGGTCTTTTGCTGTATATTTTGGCTTCCATTTTTGTGTCTTTTTCTTTCTTTCTTCCTTTTTTTTTCATTTTTTTTAAGAAAGAGACAAAGGGCCTGGAGTTGGATACAGGTAGAGAGAAGTGTGGAGGAGCTTGGAGGATTAGAGGGAGGGCAAAACAATGATCAGAATACATAGCATAAAAAAGGAAAAAAGCAAAGCCAAGCCTAATAATGCTGACCTTATTTACCCTCCACACTCCCACCTTCATGCTGCTCTATGAAACGGGGTCACTGTGTCTCTGTCTGAGACGTCATCTCTTGGTTACAACACCAGCTTCTCTAGTACACTTCACTTCCTGTAGACTTGGACTGTCTCCACTGACGTCCAGGCCAATTCTGAAGGGCCTTGTTATTTCCCTATCTTACTTAATATTGCTGCATTTCATGACCCGAGTTCTTGGGAATGCAACCGTCTGCCAGCCTAAGGACCACTTCTCCTTGGTAAGGCACTGGGTCAACTGAGGTCACAAACCAGCAGTCAACCACCAGAGGGTGTGATATCGTGGGTTGTAAATGTGGCTATGTCACCCTATCCAAAAAACTATTTCAAATAATTAAGTATGGGTGCTTCTCATCAGACCCTTTCTGCATTCTGCCTAGCTCCTCTTCCATCGGCCACATGTCACTTCCGCCAATCACTTCACTTGTCTGCCTGTGAGCAATGGCCCCTTCTCTCTCCATTCCACTGCTCTTGACCCCTCACACCTCCTTTCTTAACCTCCTGTACTGTACTCAGCATTAGGGCTTATTTTTCTGTTGTTGACTTTTCTCACCTAACTGTAAGGTGGATAGAGTTACTTGCTTTAGTACATTTTCAGGAAGGTTACTATGTTTATATGATAAATCCTTAAATACAGCAAATCTTTCATCAGTAAATAGGGGGAAAGGTTGAAGAGGGCAAAAGACACCATGGTCTCAAGAGATGAATGCATAGCTATAATCCCAAGACAGAGGAGTCTAAGGCAGGAAGATCACGGTGACTTCAGGTTACTTTGGGCTATTTGATGTATCCAAGCTCAACACAGTTACACACGGTAAAACCTTGTCTCAAACATACAAAAACAATGTTCCTATAACTCAATTTCATTGTTGTTCAAATGAGTAAGTGAAAAACACAACTTAGTTGTTTTATTTGGTGGTATTTCCAGCCAAATAGACTAAAATCTCCATGTAAAAGATAAAAAAATCTATTTCAAGAATTCCATTTTAAGTGCTTTTCAAAGAGCACCAGGAGTGCTCAGAATGACAGCTCCAGGGTTATGGGACATGCTGAGATCAGCTGCAGGGCTTTTCTAGTACACCTGCCCAGCACCGTCTGACTCAGTGGATGAAGCTGAGCGGGTATGGATGTCATTATTCTTAAACGCCACTCCGATAGGAGTAAAGGCATTACAACTATTGGCCTAAGATATTTTAAAAATTAGTGTATATAATTAACTACCTGCTTTAACTACTCTGGTAGTGCCAGTCCTGTAGGATTAAAATGTACAGAAACAATAAACTATTTTTGCAATAAACTGACAGAACTTTCCATCTTGAAAAAGCTTTCTAAAATGGTCTACTGAAATGATCCCATGGAATTAAACACGAATACTATTCAACAGCTGTGGTGAGCAAATGTACAGCTGGCAGACCAACAGACAGACCCACGGGAAGTGTATTCACACAGAAAAGCCGTTCAGCAGAGCTGTGGGAACACCTGTCTTTTGGCTAGGTCACTGTGAATTCTGTAGAAATCACGGCATCTCTCCCTCCTACTGCATCCAGCAGTGTACATCCGACTTTTCCTTTGGGCAACGGAATGCCTTCCCCACACTCTGAAGCCCTGGTGTGAAAGCATTCACTCAGTCAAACCTTTGTTCTCATGGCCCAAATCCACATAAAACTAGTGCCCACAACTTTCTTTACTGACAGCACTCACTGATAAGAAAGGAGCCCTAAACAGGAGGCAGTATGTCTGCTCTAACAGAAACTCAGGTGTAATCTACTGGTCTGCTCTACCTTAACAAACCGCTAATATGCTGTTATTACCCTTCACCTTGGTTTTGATTAACATTTTAATGAACTGCTTATACTGGAAAAAGGCCTGAGTTGCTAAAACTAGCTTCAGAGAGGAGAATTCTCACTTGGACATCCTGCTGGAGTCAAAAGCAAGCCTCAAACGAGATTCCTTTTAACTCAGACAACTACACTGAGGCAAATCAGGCACCTTGCCTCCCACCCAGGCCCTGGCTACCAAGGCTGTGTTCCCAGCTATCAGGGAGCTTCACAGCCATACCCCGTCTGAGGTGTAAGATGCCTCCTTGTCAGGCCCACAGTTTTTTGTTTTGTTTTTGATTCTGTAAAATGCATGTTTGATACTACTGTTACCGCCTACAGAACGGCTAACTTGTCTGTATGCCTAAAAAACTGAAAGCTTTTGTGGAGCACAGCCCCCTTTCCCCCCTCCTTCCCTTCCTTCCCCCAAGCAATAAAGAAACAAGCAGGAGGACAGTGCTCAAGTCAGCCGGGCTGCTTCCCCAGCCAGCTTCCCCTGCTGTAGTGAATCTTTTTGGACCCTGAGAGGTTTAGTGGGCTTAACCCCAAAATAAACCTTGATAAACAGCAAAATTCATATAATATATAATCTATAGTTTCTTTTATAAAAAGTCTAAAAGCTAACACTAGAGTTAAATAATACAAATACAAAACAAAATTAGAGCATAGTTTCTAAGATATTCATCATTTTAAAGACTTTCAAAACCTTCTATAATACTTACAGGTCTTTCCCAAAACACTACATCACAACAAAACAAAGTGCTTAGCCCAGGGATTCTGTGTGTTAGAGTGATGACCAGATACATCTACAATACACACAGGCTCGAATAAGGAACAGCATAGTACTGAAAAAGGAAGAGAGAACACCAGGCTTTCAGCTTTCTTCACATGAAATTCTAGAAGAGCAAATGATAACTAAAGCCACATCAACTTAAAATTTTTAGCTATGCAGGTAATGCAAATTAAAAAGAAAACTTACCTATTCCATATTGCCATCATATAAAATACTGAAAATGACAAATTTGGAAGCTTTCAAAATGCTAATTACCAGGTTAGCCATTGTATTACCTGTCTGGAGGATGAGGGAGGACAGTCTTGAATATGAGGGCACCTTAGGCTGCACAGAAGAGCTAGGGCAGTCTGGACTATAAAGTGAAACTAGCTGAAAATTTAAAAAGATAAATACAAAAAGACTATCATTACATTTGAGAAAGCTGGGCAATTTTTGCCCTTATATAACTATGACATCATCATAGCAGTTTTTAGAATCTTTTTAGTATTCTTGTCTCAACTTTACAGAATGCTGTGACTGCACATACGTGCTACTATGGCAGTTATAGCACTTTAAAAATGCAAAGATGTACTGTATTTGTTTATGTTGCGGAATACTTGTTTAACTATGCAAAAATGTATTGCGTTTGTTAACTGTGTTACGATGTGTGCTGTTTTACCTTGCCTGCCTAAGGTACCTTATTGGTCTAATAAGGTGAACTGCTAACACCAAGGGAGGAGGGATAGGACTTCCCAGCAGGGAGAGGAAGTAGGAAGTTATTTAGGCTAGGGGAGCAGAGAGCGATGCCAGGGGTCAGACAGACAGATATGGAGGAATCAGAAGAGTAGAACATACAGAATGAAATAAAGGTAAAAGGCCCTGAGGCAAACGTGGATGCATGGAATCATTAAGAACTAGTGGGACAAGCCTAAACTAAGGCCAAGGATTCATAATTCAAATAAGTCTCCATGTCTTTATTTGGGAGCTGGTTGGCGGCCCCAAGAATTAAACGCTTGGATGAATGAAGATGTGAATTACACATAACCTCTCCACTTGGGCAAACTTGTTAAAAGGGGTTGACTCTCAAATTTTCTTTAGTCTTGTTACATTCCAGCAAATTGTTATTGATCTTAAACCAGAATAATTAGCTGAACATTTCATAACCTTCAAATTTTATTCAAACTCAGAATGCTCATTTAACATACACACAGATTTCTTAGCTAATAGTAAAATAATAAGTTCATTACACAAAGGTGGTTATTTCACACTCTCTCCAGTTAAGTCTGTTCACTGGTGGTAATTTACTGTGAGAACACTATATGCTCTAGAAAAGGTATTGCTGCTTCAGTCTAGAAGAACCGAGTGCTTTTATTATGTCTTCTCATTTCTGAGACTTGAACCCAAATAGGGAATTATGACTAAAGAATTCAATACTGGTAAACATATTGAATTTATTTCAGTGTAGTTTAAATCATGAAAACAAGTAAGCATAACTAACTTATGGCAGAAATGAGAAATAGTCGCGATTTTTATCAGTCCTACGGGAACTAACCTTCTGACACTGTAATTTAAAATACAAGGGTGAGGCAGTGAAATAAATTAACATGGAGGAAAGTGGCAGCAAGCGTCTAGGATGGGTGACACTGAATTCTCTACGTCCTCCTGGAATGAGAGGACCACTACGAAGCTAGAGCCAACAACCAAAAGTTGTAGTTTGATGTATAAAATTTAAAAGCCCATACTTATAGAAAACTCAAATATAAAATGGTAAATAAACTGATAATCAAAAAGTGTAGCTTATAATTGAAGTTAGGATAGTAATCCTATTTGTGTGTGTGTTGCTTTAGGCAAGCTACTCAAGTTTCTTGATTTTTCTATGCAATAATATCAAATTGAGAAGCCAAGTGATTTCTAGTATGTGTTTTATATCTAGAAAATTCCTTTTAGAACATTTATTTTAAAAAGTGCATATCCGATAAAAGATAAGTTTATCAAAATTTTCAAACTTGTTATATATTCACTTCCAATAATCTAAAAATCTAATAAAATATAAAATGAATCAAATTTCAAAACCGTCTTTTGACCACTTAAAAACACCAAATATCTATTTAAAAAAATATAGTCTCAACTCAAAACAAAAACTGATTTGACTATTGGCTTTGTCCAGAGTACTAAGTTCATTCTAAATGAACAAAAATGTACATACATTTTTCTGGGTTTTAAGAGAAATACTTCTTTTGGCTCTATTAGAAAAGTTACCTCTAAAGGAATATATTAATAAATAGCACAATTCTTCCTTAGTATCTAAATTTTCATAGGTATAAATATGAAATTTAACCCCCCCCCCAACAGTTTATATACTGGTCCACAGGATTTACAAACAGAAGCACTTTGAAGTTGATAGTACTGTAGATTTGCTTAAACAGTTAGGAAAGAACAATAAAAAAAATCCACAGGTCAGATTTTACCTCAGGAACAAAGAAGTCAAAAATAAGAATGGAATTAAGGCAGCTTTAACAGTGTCTAAAACTTACCATCCAAAATAGTGCTGCCACAGTGGAAGTCTCTCCCTGAAAGGCTGTTTACAATGAGAACCAAAACCAACATGAGCACCGATGGATGCAGAGTCAGGTGCTTTTACTTCTACACATAACCTAATGGCCACACAGCTCAAATGAATGGGGATTAATATGAATACGCACATTACCAGAGATGTTTGTTTACTACCAGGGATGTCTGAGCAGTTCCATGCCCTCAAAGTCAATATAATTGCTGTAAAAAAATCAACTGTGGCTCTGAGTATCCATTCCCAGTTGCCCTCAACAGTGTGTCAGACGTTGGAGACTGACTGTCTGTGACAGGCAGAAGCATATGGTCTTCAGTTCCCAGTGGAAGCGCTAAGGGGAGAGTCATCTCTGAAGGCTTCACGTCTAGAGTTTCTGACAAAGGACTTCTTTGTGTGGGATCCTGTTCACTTAAAGCATGGTCCTCTACACTGCCATCTGGAGTTTTATCTGCACCTGAAATGGAAGTCAGAAAGTATCCTGTCTTTAACAATACAAACTAAAGAATTGTCTGAGGTAGGCTAATCAATCTACTTACAAGTCCTAGAAATTATGCTTAGTCTCCAAACCCATGTGCGACCTGTTTCTCTCTCACCAATGTGCCTGATTGTATTGAAACTTAGTGTTGGGCATATCTGGGCTTCAAGAGTAGAGTCAAGCACAAATACCAGTACATAAATAGGTTTAACATTCGAAACCTGGGTGAACTTTTTCTCATCTACCTTATTACATATTTATCAAATTTCATATTCGTACCTGTGGCACCCATTCCTCTTACTCTTGTTTAACACTCTATTCAGTCGTGCCTCACATCCTTAACTGGGTTAGACATTCCTTGAGGCTAAATGCTCAGCTAAACTTTTCTAATTCCCTCCAAACGCGGGCAGTAAAGTAAATAAACCTTTGTACACTGGCGATTTTAATAAGCAGTTTCTGTTATTCTGTGGCTTAAGTCTGCAGTACAATGCTTACCGTTTCTCGTGAGGTGAGAAACTGTCACACTGACTAAAGATGCACCTTTGCTTGACTTTACTACTGCTTTTAACATGTTGCTGCCACCCCAGAAATGCTGACAGGACTCCAGCAGCCTCAGCAGACAGCTAACAGTACATCACCTGTCTCACTACGCTGCAATTCTGTCTTCTTCAGCCTAACCAGTCAACAAACAACCTGTGCTGTCTCATCTTGGTGACTCATCACAATGTCTTCTGCTTGAAATGACCCATCTTGCTATCTTCATTTTCTGAACTTTTCTCTCTTCAACTTCGTAAGAATAAATTCTTTCTTTTCTGACAGTCCTTCCCCTTTTTAGATACTGTCATTATGCAGCCCAAGCTGGCTTTGAACTTGCAGTCAGCCACTTTTTTCCCTCAGCATCCTGAGTGCTGGGACTGTAGGCATGGGCTGCCATGTCTAGGTTAAACGTAAGCCCATTCCGATGCTTCAGAAGAACTCTTAGTTAGTTAGCACCTGTATTCATCTTGTCTGACAATCTTATTCAGTTAGATCTCTGGAGTTACATCCACGCTGTAAGCTCTTGCTCAACTCTGTCTGCCCTGCAGTTATGTGTACTCTGTAGATATTAACTAGACTGCTGAACACTCATTGCGGCTGTCAGAGGTTTCTGCCTTAACCCTTACAATGACTTATTAACAGAATGTTTAGTTTTTGGAGCTGGATATTGCACCTAGGGCTTCATGCATGCTAGGTAAGTATTCCATCACACCCATTATCATCATCTCCATATTTGTGATACTTTTCGTCTTGGTAGAATGCCGTAAGTACAGTGAGTCACAGGCCTACAAGTCTGCACTCTGGCTGCCTACATTGATGGAGCATTTTTGAGCTACCAGAGTTCTATTTCCTTCCACATTTCTAGGCTCTTCTTCACGATAGCTCTTTTCTTTCTAACCACTGTCTGAATCACCGAGACCGCATTCTGGAGAGTAATGCTACTTAGCTTGCTTATATTAACTTACATTTATTTATTTATTTATTTATTTATTTATTTATTTTGTATATAATATTCTGTCTGTGTGTATGCCAGCGGACCAGAAGAGGGCACCAGACCCCATTACAGATGGTTGTGAGCCACCATGTGGTTGCTGGGAATTGAACTCAGGACCTTTGGAAGAGCAAGCAGTGCTCTTAACCTCTGAGCCATCTCTCCAGCCCCTTAACTTTCGTTTTTGAAACTACTCAGAAGTCATGGTTTGTTCTGAGGCAGGGATGCCCATGTAGCTCACACTAAACTACAATCTTCCTACCTGTCCTCTAAGTTCAGTGTGTGATATGTGCCACCATGCTTTGCGGCGAATCATGTGTGTGTATGTATAAACGTATGTATGCATATACACATACATGCTTGTTTTAAGATACAGGGTTTCTCTGTATAGCTGTGGAGCCTGTCCAGGAGCTTGCTCTGTAGACCAGGCTGGCCTCAAACTCTCAGAGATCTGTCTGCCTCTGCTTCCTGAGTGCTGGGATTAAAAATGTGCATCACCACTGCCCGGCTGGCAAATCATAATTTTAAAGGAGGAAATAGTTGAAGTATTTTATTATTGTTATTATTATTATTATTTTATATGTACGAGTGTTTTGCCTGCAAGTGTAACTGATGCCTGTGGGGCCAGTAGAGAGGGAGGGCATCAGAGCCCTCCCCTGGAACTGGAGTTAAAAACAGTTGTGAGCTGCCCTGTCAGTGCTACGACTCTAAGAGCAGCAGTGCTGAGCCACCGCTCCAGACCCTGGAGATTTTGTGTTTTCTTTTTAAAAAACTAAAGTTCAATATTTCAAAAGAACTGGAAAGACAAATTTTCTGTAAATTAAAAAGCTACTTTTTATGTATATATCTATGTTTTGCTTTTTGTTTTCTAAAATTCAGTTTATTTATTTGTTTTGTGTGTGTGTGTGTGTTAGTGTATATATGCGTGTCAGAGGACAACTCTCAAGAAATTGTTCTCTCCTGTTATCTGTAAGATCTGGGAATCGAATTTAGGTTATTAGGCCTAAGCACAGGAGCCTTGAGCCCTGTTTTCTTTGGGATTTTCTATCTGTTGCTTGAGACAGGGTTTCACTAGATTTGTGGTCAGGCTGGTCTTTCTTTCTGCTCCAACTACCTGCCTAGACGATGAGCATGGACCACGTCTGCGGACATCTAGTGTTAAACACCTAACTTACACTGCTGAAATGTCTCTTGACCTGCTCCGGCCCCACCAGAGGGCAGCGCAGGCTTTAAGCACATGCACTCACCAGAATGGACCTTTGCTTTGTGCTTCTTCAAATTTTTAATGTCTGTGTAAGAATTTCCACATAATTCGCAGATAAATGGCCGTTCTCCTGAAAAACAAGATAAAAACTTTAAAAACTTGGTATTTTCAACATGCCAGCAGACACAAAACTATCCAATGTTCTACAAATAAAGCGAAAAAGTCACTTTAATCACTGGTTGTGACAGCGAGATAAGAACCCTAGACACAAAGGTGCACTTTATAGAGAGTAGAAGCCAATCTCAGGAATTGAGTGAGAGGAGAACCGGAGTCACAGGTTCACTTTACTTTATAGGAAGCAGAAGCCAATCACAGGGAAATTAAGCATGTTCATTATCTGAAATTCTCAAAAAATAATCTTTTTTACTGCTATCAGATACATATTAGATGCCATTCATATGCTAAAATCTGGCTACAGAACTAGGAAAAAGTATAGCTATAATTTTGGCTCTCATACACCTCAACAATGAGGAAGTCTTCCAAGGAAGACTGACGATATTCTACAATATAAATAAGTGCTTTCAAATAAGAACTGTTTGGGCTGGGATGTACTGGAAAGGCAGGCTGCAGTCCCAGCACCTGTAAGGCTCTGAGTTTGCTCTCCAGCACTACGGGGGTGGGGCGATGGCTGAAGAACCACGTAATGCCTTACCCCAAAACCAAGGAACATGAGGATACAGGAGCTGCAATGAATTCACCAAGACCCTCCTATTACTCTGGACAAGAATTATGAAGACAGGTTTTTGAAAAGAAATGAACAGTATATTTTAAAAGTAGCATTTTCCTTTCTTTTAATTTTTAATATTCAACATTTTCTTCATGCTATTTACATATTACATGTTAAAATAAACATGTTGATATTATAATCTATTCTGGAAACTTGCATATAAGAACACCACCTGCTAATTCTGACAGCTCCCTGGTGTTATCTATTCATCTTTTTTATGTATTTATTCATTTGCAACAAACATTTTTGTTTAATAGACATCTGTCATATTTCTTGGAAAATCTACACAATTCTTAACCAAGTTTAAATTATACTCTAAACAACTTTAAAAAATAAAGAAATGAACAAATAAAAACCTGACATGTATACATTAAAACCTTATTATCACAAAGTTATGACTAGAAACTATATAGCCCACAATGGTTTCAAAGTCAAGGTTTACATACAAAGGAATTAAGAGAGAACAAAAAATGATACGTTCTCCCTAAACACAGACCTGTATGGGATCGAAAGTGTTTGTTGAGCTCTCCTGAGGAAATAAAACTTTTCCCACAAATACCACATATGTATGGTTTTTCACCTAGATGGAAAATAAAAGATAGCGAAGTGGCGTACTATACCAATGTAATATTATCAATTACAAGTGATCTAAAGTAAGCTTTTAAAAATATCTATATGAAAGCCTTTCTACATTGTATCTTAGAGGCATTTTCAGTAATCCAACATAACAAACTATAGTTTTATATCATCTATCTAGCTTGATATTTTTCCCATACTAAAACATTACTTCTGCAAATGTCTTATCTTTCCTAGAAGAGATCTCCTGGGCAATGTGTTTCTTAAAACCCCCCAAAAAATAAAAAAATTAAAAATTAAAGCCACATTTCAAATTTTGCTTCTACTTTATTATCCAAGAAGAATATAAACATGTGAGGAAGATCATTAGCAGTGCACCTTACAAACGAAGGGTCCCTTGGTTTCAGAACTGGCAATTTGCACTTGATACATCTGTCTGTGTTCCAAATCTCAAAGTGTCTATGCAAAGGAGGCCCCAGGTCACAAAACAAGTTGTCTAACCCACCTCCAGCTTAATTCCCCCTTCATACGCTTATTCAAAGGAAAAAAATTCTCAAAAAAAGGTTAACGAGGTTTTCTCTAGTCAAAAAAAGATGTCTCGGGGCTGGAGAGATGGCTCAGGGGTTAAGAGCATTGTCTGCTATTCCAAAGGTCCTGAGTTCAATTCCCAGCAACCACATGGTGGCTCACAACCATCTGTAATGAGGTCGGGTGCCCTCTTCTGGCCTAAAGGGATATATTGTATACTAAATAAATAAATATTTAAAAAAAAATGTCTCAATTCAATTCATATATTATCTTCAGAATTATCCTACTTCAACAAACCTAAGCTACAAGATAAAACTTTCACCTACCTTGTATTTAATCTAAGAGTTATGTGAAAATCATGAACATAGCTCCAAAAATACCAAATGTAGATATCTAACTAAGAAGTCTATAATCTACCTTTGATAAGAGCCCAATTCCCATTCTTTTATCTGTTTTCTTACTGCAGCCAGTCTGTATGTAACTCTTACCTGTATGTTTCCGAGAATGAGTAATAAGAGAACTAGAGACCGCAAATGCCTTTCCACAGGTGTCACACACATAAGGCTTTTCTCCAGTGTGCCTACGGACATGGTAGGTCAGTGTGCTGGCTTGGGCAAATCTCTGCCCACATCTATCGCACACATATGGCTTCTCTCCACTGTGCTTCCTGTTAGTAAACAGAAAGTAATACAATGGTAAGTAGAGTAATCTAGAGGTCAGTACATACATCAAGTATGTTTTACATAGTTTTTCATGCAGCATTTTATTTCATCTTAACAGGCTAAGACTACACATTTAAATTCAATAGTTGATTCTATGTAAAACCCACCCCCCATTTTTTTGAGTTAGCAAAACAACAGTTCTGAAATAAGTTAAAAAAAAAAAAAACTTTTGCCATCATCATTATATAGTTGTCTTAGGGTTTCTGCTGCTGTGATAAAGATCATAACCAAAAGCAACTTGGGGAGGAGAGAGTTTATTTCACAATCCATCACTGAGGGAAGACAGGGCAAGAACTGAAGTAGAGGCCATGGAGGGGAGCTGCTTACTAGCTTGGTCCTCATGGCTTGTTCAACCTGCTTTCTTACACACCCCAGGGATGGCACCAACCAGTTATCTGAGACTTCTCCCATTAATGGTTAATCAAGGAAATGACCTATAGGTTTGCCTACAAGCAACCTGATGAAGGGAATGTTCTTAACCAAGATTCCAGCTTCCTATATGTCTAGGTTTGTGTCAAGTTGACAACAAGCAACTAGCAGCACAATAGTTATTACCAAACCCCAAATACAGCAATTCCTTTGCCAGTCCATCTTACTGGTCGAAAGTTCTTCCTCACACCCAGCTGACAGTTGCTTCAGAGTTTACTAAATCACAAGAAAATCTGGGGCCAGTGAGTTGGCTCAGTAGGCAGAAAGGCCTGCTGCCACCTAAGTGTGATCATTGGGTTCCCAACTCCCTTGGGTGTCCTCTGGCCTCCACAGGCATGCCATGCATTGTAAAGATATACACAAACACACACAAAATAAAAAGGTAATTTAAAGAAAGAAAAGCTCCATATCATTGCATCCTACCTATAGCATCGGTGCATATATATCTCGCTTTCCTTCTGTCATTTGAATGTTCAATTTGTTTTAGCTAAACTAAAACAAATCCCCTAACTCCAAGTGTTAATAATAGTTGAATCTAGAATGCTCCCTAAAGGCCAAGTGCAAAGGCTTGGTCCCCAGCTTGTGGTGATATTAGGTAGGGCCTCATTAGAAGAAGTAGGTCACTGAGATTATACCTTTGAAAGATATATCTTGTTCCAAGTCCCCTCTTCAGCTTCTGCTTCTTGGCTACCATAAGATGAGCAGTGGCTTCCACCACACCCTCTCTGTCATATTGGTTTGCTTTACCTAAGGCCCAGAAGTTATGAAGCCAATAGAACTATCTGCCAACAGAGATCTTTCCATCTTAGGGTAGCTGCCTCAGACATTGTCTCAGGGACAGCTGATATTGAAAACAACAGTCCCAGTGATGAGTTCACTGGGACTGTATCTCACAATGTGGTCCAGAAGCTTTTAGAATTGACTTTAGGAGGAATTAGGGAAACTTTGGAGATACAGATTAGGGAAGTTCTAGGAAGACACAAGAAGAGCTTAGTGGGTCATTCTGATACAAATTCAGAAGACCATAATTCTCACAGAAATGTGGACAAGTAGATTGAGGGATGCATACTGATAACTCCAACACTCAAGAGGCTGAGGTGGAAATAATAAGTTTGAGGTCAACTGGACCACAATTTTTAGAAAGGGGAGGGGGAAGAGAGAAACAGCAAAGGGAATATGACAACAAAGACCATGTTCACGAGTTGTAGAAGAAAACAGTGCTGCCGGGAACTGAAATTGAGAACAATTTTGCATGCTGGCAAATAACCTGTGTATATTTTACCCATGCTGTAAGACTCTGAACTGGGTTTAAAGACAACTATTTCTGGAGGCAACAATCCCTGACTTCAAACTCTACTACAGAGCTACAGTACTGGAAACAGCCTGGTACTGGCATAAGAACAGACAGGAGGACCAATGGAACCTAATAGAAGACCCGGATATCAATCCACACATCTTCGAACACCTGATCTTTGCAAAAATATCAAATGGAAAAAAGAAAGCATATTTACAAGTGGTGCTGGCATAACTGGATATCAACATGTAGAAAAATAAAAATAGACCCATATCTATCACCATGCACGAAATCCAAGTCCAAATGGATCACAGACCTCAACATAAAGCCAGCCACACTGAACCTTAAAGAAGAGAAAGTAGGAAGTACACTAAGACCATAGATATAATCTACATGGGAAGTAGAAAGTAGAAAAAGACAAGATCTCTTGAGTAAATTGGGAACATGGGGACCTTGGCGGAGGATTGCAGGTGGAAGGGGAGAAGCAGGGAGGGGGGCAGAGAAAAATGTAGAGCTCAATAAATATCAATAAAAAATTATACAGAAAAAAAAAGACTTAACTATTCCATTGGAAGAAATTTCGAGGCTGCACAGTACAAAGGCGTCATGTCATGGGTGACTTTTAGCCAGATTTACTCCAAGTAAAGGCAAAGTGGGACTTTTTGAAAAACTTGGAGGTTTGGCTAAAAAAAAGAAGTACAGATAAGCAGGGCCCAAAAAAGAACACACCTGAACAGTGAGAATGAAGTCAATGGCGGGAAACAGAGCTCAGCTGTAAAGCTCGTGTCTAGCATGTTAGAGACCCTCAGCTTAACTTCTACCGCCACAAATAAAACAAACAAAATTTCCAACCAATGGTATATTTTTATAAACTCAGCTCTCAGGAGGGAGAGATAGGAGGATTTGGGTTTTGAGAGGAGCCTGGGCTATACGGCAAGACCCTGTCTCAAAAAAACAAAATAAAACAAAAAACCCAAACAAACAAACAAACAAGAGGGTAAAAAATGGTCAAATTTTACCCATCAAAAGCTACAGGGTGTGAAAAGTGAAAATGTAAGTTCTTTTGCTTTGAGACTAAAGTACTAGGCACCTTGCCCACATACAGAGGCATTCAGAGTCTACTGTAGCCACAGTCCCTTGGGAGATCATGGTGGAGCTATCACAGCAACCAGGAAAAAGCAGAGGAAGAGTTGTGGGGGTGGGCGAGGCAAAACACAATCCCCAGAGGCTCAGGACTCAGTATTTAACTAGGTCTTAACACCTAAAATGTCACCCCTAAATCTCTGATTAGGTCAGAGCCACTTCCCCAAAAATCATCCCTGAACGTTGTACTGGAACTACACCTTCCAGAAATGAGAATCCGGGAGGTATTTCAGATCCAAACTAAATTCTACCTCCAGCCCTAAATGTTCAAGCCCATCCCCATGAGAATGCATTCATCTATCTCTAGGAGTCAGAGAATCTCTCAGAAGTCCAGGTCTAAAGTCTCAGAGATTGGGGCAACTGAGTTGTGAGCACTTGGTAAAAATGAAAACACAGCTTACACACATTCCACAGCACAACTCCCATTCCAAAAGAGAGGAGTGAGGAAATGCAAGGAGGATGAAAGCAAGCTGAAATCTCGGCAGGGCAAGCATAAAATCAGCAGATGGTGTAACATGAGGCTTGCTCTGGGCACTCATATAAAATGTACTCATCCAAAAAAAAAAAAAAAAAAAAAAAAAAAAAAAAAACCAACAAACAACAACAACAAAGCCCACCCAAGCCAGGCAGTGGTGGCACACACCTTTAATAACAGCACTCTGGAGGCAGAGGCAGGTGGATCTCTGTGAGTTCGAGGCCAACCTGGTCTACAGAGGGAGTTTCCAGGACAGCCAGGGCTGTTACACAGAGAAACTTCATCTCAAAAAACAAAAAAAAAAGTACTCATTAAATTACAATAATTAACTAATTAACTTACTTAAAGATCAAACAACTCGGAGTTTTTTGGTTTTTTTTACCTTGCATGAATCTTGAGATTGCTAGAAGTTGCAAACTGTAAATTGCACACATCACATTTATAGGGTTTTTCCTCACCATGATGCATGCGACTGTGGAAGACCAGCTGGCATTTCTGAGCAAATCCTTTATCGCACAGTTCACATTTGTATGGCCTTTCCCCTGAGAGAACAATAACATTTGTATTAGGAAGGAAAAAAAAATCCTATTTAACTTGCTAAAGTTATAAACTTTGAAGGCTTTAAGAGCACTAACAGTACTGGTTTTTGTCTTAGAGAAAATGGTAACTGCTAAGTAACAAAAGCAAATGGGATGTCCTTCCAGACTACTGAAAACACTAACTAGTAGGAAAGAAATTCATCATAACAGTGAAAGGCAAGAAAAATGTATAAAACATAATGTGTACTATGTGTACTAATGGATGCTCACACTTTGCCAGCAGGTCATGTAAAACAGATAAACAGAGAAGCTGATGTTCAAAACCAATCAAGTCTAGGAGCAAGTAAAAAGAAGTATTGGTAATACGTAAATATTGGACTGAGTTTTAATATTGTCTCTGTTAAATACTTTAAAAACTAGAAGCAAGCCAGGCCTAATGGCACAGCTCTAAAATCCTAACTACTCTGGAGGCGGATGCAGGGGCACTACAAATCCAAGACTTACAAGGTAAGTTCAAGGCCATCTTGAACAACTTAGCAAGACACTGTCTCAAATAAAGAAGCCATCTGTGGAAGGGTGAAGCGCTATAGCTTAGTGGTGGAGTACCTGCACAGCATGTTCAAGGCCCTAGGTTCCATACCCAGCTAGGGCCTGGGGTTAGGACCAAGTTTATGCTTATAAGAGAAAATGGTGCAAGAACCTGATGCACTAAAACTTAAAAGTATCAACTATAGCAACAAGCTGTTAATACTTGATTACAATTATGAATAAGATTTTAAGAGTCTAATGCTAAAACATTTTACAAATAAAAGAACATGGCCAATTTTGTGGAAAGGCCATCAATGCTGTGTGCTAATATCTCTACTGGATGGAGATGCAACTTAGTAACACATGGTGTGCTCAGTGGAGGCCTTGGGCTCCGTCCCTAGTACCAAACAGAACAGAAACCAAAATAACACAAGCCATCGCAGAGCAGGAAAACAAAGCAGTCTCACCTGTATGAGTTCTTACATGTGTTTTCAGCTGGTTACACTGGGTAAAAGCCTTTCCACACAAGTGGCAGACGTAGGGTTTGACTCCTTTATGTATTCTCATGTGCCTTCTCAAGCTGCTGGCTTCTGAAAATACCTTCCCGCATGTGTTACACATTGGCTTGGCCTTGGAATACCGCTGATCCAGCTCTTCGCCAGTATTCTCCAGTTCATAGGGACTCTTTACACTGGCTATATTAGACATGGAGTGTTCTTTCAGAGCACAGTGTGACTGTGACTTGCCGCGTTTCCGTTTGACTGTAACAGTTTGCACAATATCTTGTGCTGGAAAAGTATTTTCCACAACTGAGGTCAACTCAAGTTCTGAATTATCATTTCCCTGGATGACTTGTTCGTCTACAGGTGAGGACAACTTACCTGTATCTAGGAACAGCTCCACAGGCGCACTCTCTAAAACATCACTGGGGTATTGCACTGCTTTATTCTGTCCTGGTTTCTGTGGATTGAAAGCCTTTTTCTTCTTTTTACTTTGAGACGATTTCTTTGCCAATACCCTTTGTTTAGGATTTGCCTGAACTAAGTCTGTAGATACTTCTGACTTCTCCCGATTATTATAATCTCGAAGAGTTAGAAGACAGGTCTGTTGATTCAATTCAATGTTTGCAGTAATACTAGATACTTCTGTAGAAGAGGGACTAGCAATAAAAGCAAAGTCTTCCATCTTTATTTTACATTTAGTGACTACCTCTTCTACTTTGAGATAGTCAGCAGCCTGATGAATTTCTTTAACATTCCAACTGTAAGGAAACAAGGCTCGATGACAATATTCTGATCAAAAGGAAAACCTGAAGCAACTGCACATACACCTGAATGCCAAGTAACAAATTTATAAAATGTAATTTGACAGAATGTTTGAACAGGTATCTCTGATTATATAGATACTAAAAAAATAAAAAGAATGCCTACTTATAGATGTTGATGAATAACAAAATGTTATATTTTCTGACTGCTTAAAAAAACCAAAAAACAAAACAAAAACATTTGAATTGATAAATGGTTGTTGGGTGGTCAGCAAGCTGGCTCCACAGGTACAAGCATTAGCTGAGCAAGCCCAAAGACCCAAAAACCCATGGGAGATGCGATGTGATGGTGCTCCTACAGCAGAGACAGACACAAGACCCTGCCTCAGCAACAAAGAGAAACTAGTCCCAGAATCGTCCTCTGATGTCCACATGAATGCTGTGGTACACACGGGTGCATCTGCACTCACAAAAACACACATAGGGTAACACTATGTAGTTTTGACTAACCTGAAACTCACTATAGACCAGACTGTCCTCAAACTCATAGCATTCACCTCCCTCTGCCTCCGGAGTGCTGGGATGAAAGGCATGCATACCATGCCCTGCTAATTTTTTTTTTTTTTAATGTTGTTGACAATACATTGCTTCCTCCCATTTCCTCTGAGGCTTCTTCAGATTCCAGTCAAGTTTTCTCAACTGGCAACAGAGTTCAGTGAAAACTACTTCCCACTTCCCCTTTCTGCTCTGTGAGATATTTTTAACTATGCTTCTCACACTTTATTGTTAATATGAATCATGAAAGGTCTTGTTAATGCAGACTAAAATTCGGGCATCACTGATAGTGCCTGAGAATCTGCAGCTGCAATGCACTCCCTGCTAGGTCAATGCAGCTGGCCCATGAATTACAACTGGGAGGGACAAAGGTTTTGAATGTGCTGACCTCTCTCTAGCTCAGCTTACTGCCAGGAAAGTGTATCACGTTAGCTTTGTATGAGAGACAAACCATACTGTTCAACATCCCAGTCAAATTGACTGGGAGTACAAGACAAGGGTGACTGCTATATTTAGCACTGGGTCTAGCATTCTATGAATTAATCAGGGTGAGGCAACATTGCTGGCTTAAAATTCCTCGGTTGTAAAAACAAGAGTTTAGTTGATATTAACTGCCAATGGCCGGGCGGCAGTGGCACATACCTTTAATCCCAGCATCAGAAGGCAGAGGCAGGCAGATCTCTCTCTCTGTTAGTTCAAAACCAGCCTGGTCTACAAGAGCTAGTGCCAGGACAGGCTCCAAAACTACAGAGAAACTCTGTCTCAAAAGAAAGAAAAAAAAAAAAAAACCGCTAATGAAGTTGAAGGGTGACGTCTGAACCTAATCTAAGCATACAGAGATGCACACCCTTGAGGAAACTCCCGGCCTGCCACTGTGCCAAGGGTCACTTGGTTCACTAACATAGCCTCTTTTCTGCTTTCTTCCTTGTAACTCAGTAAAAGGGCTCCAATTACAGTTGAAAACATATAATGATGACAATACTGTTACTGCTTTTTTAAGAGGGGATAAAATTTGAAGCAAAATAAAAAATAATCAGTGCATTGACATGTCTGGAATCTCCAAGACTATCCTGTGTGTGCACTAATCTCTGATGACCACCTAGTCACACTCTGTCTCCGAGAGTTCCACTGTGCTGTACTTTTGCCTCATTTAGTGTTCTCCTGGCTGTTTAAAATGTCTTTTATGACAATCATTTTCAACTCATTGAAGAGTCATATGAGTGAATGCGAAAACCTATTCCTCCAGTGAAAATATTTTATTCTATGGGAAAATTCATTCAAGTTTTTAAACTTATTACATATCAACTTCTGGCATATATTGTGTCTGAGTCTCCCCCCTACATAAGAAAATATTATTCAAGAAATTATTTTCTTATGGCTCATTGTGGTAATTTTTAGAATATATCAGGAATCTTTACAATTGAGTTAATTCTCCATTTGTAAAAATAAAAATGTAAGTGTCCCAAACATATATCAGAAAATGTACTTTATATGTATGTTACAGCACCACCACTGACAATAAGCATTTCATTATACATATTTTCATAGAATAAAAACAAAGTTTACTCTACCACTTAATATATTTAACTAAATCTCAAAGTATATTTGTGCTTTCTGTTCCATTAAATGAATCACCAAACAGAAAGGTGAAATAAACTAGCATTAGGTCACATACTAACTGTATAATGCCAAAACAATAATCTCCACAAATCACTCCAAAGCCTATAATCGAAGTTAAGACACTGGATGAAGAAAACCAATCAAGAGTTTTTCTTCAAAGACTGATCTTCTAGTTGCTCTTAAGAACTACAGTTCAGTTCTCAGTGCCCACACCAAGTAGCTCAAGCTCCTAAGGGCCCAGTGCCCTTTTCCAAGGCCATCTACAAACACGTGAAAAAAAATTAGTAAAACAAATCTTTGTTTGTTTGTTTGAAGACAGGGTTTTGCTGTACTTTTGGAGCCTGTCCTGGAACTAGCTCTAGTAGACCAGGCTGGCCTTGAACTCACAGAAATCCGCTTGCCTCTGCCTCCCAAGTGCTAGGATTAAAGTGTACCACCATAGCCCAGCACAAATCTTTTTTTTGAAAAAAGTGTTTTTTATATGTTTTAAGCAACAGTGGTTCCAAACTCCTTTTTATCTTTTGGATAGTCACTGAAGGTCATTTAATTATGTATAACAATTCTCAAGGGCTGTGCCTGGGGAAGTTCAGTGGGAGAATGCTTGGGTTCAATCCTAATCACTACAAACACATATTCTCTCCCGCCCTCCCTCCTTCCCTTGCTGCCCCCACACTGTCTGTCTCCCCCACCCCCACCAAGAAGAGATCCAAAGAAATTAAGTAACTTGTTAGAACCAAGAAATAACCAAGGCAATCTAGCTCTTAAGATCACTTAATTTTCTACTATGTTGCTTCTTTCCCTTCCTTTTTATCAGAGAGAAAGAAAGACATTCATTTTGGGGGGCTGGAGAGATGGCTCAGCAATTAAGAGCACTGGTTGCTTTCCCAAAGGACCTGGGTTTCACTCCTAACACCCACATAGTGGCTCATCCAGTTCCAGGGAATCCAAAAGCCCTCTTCTGGCTTCCATGGGCACCAGACATGCAAGTGATGCAGACATACACACAGGCTAAAACAAACACCCATATACATGAAACAGTAAGTTTTTTTAAATAGATATATTTTTGTTAATTATGTGTATGTGTAGAGAAAGTGTAATTTGAGTGCAGATGCCCATAGAAACAGAAGAGAGCATCAAATTTCTCTAGAGCTGAGCTTACAGAAAGTTGTGAGTCATCCTGAGTGCTGTGAACTTAACTAGAGTCATCTGCAAGAGCAGTTGAATGAAAATAAAAAAAAAAAAAAAAGAGAGGGACATGACCGCTCCTAGGTATGTTGTAGATAAAAGGGAGAGAATAGGCAGAAGCAGGACATCTAAGAGAATCCAGAGTTGAACCTGAGTTGGAGGAGGGTGCCAACCAAGAGGAGCAGCCTGGGCCAAGATGAGAGGCAGAGGGAAGGGTGAAGGGACTGGACAGAAGGTGGCTGCGAGGAGAGAGAGAGGATAGAAGGGGGGTGCGCTTATCGGTGGGACCAAAGGCAGCAGTTTCGATAGGACGTAAGACAGGGAACAGAAGGTGTAAGGGCAAGAGGGCTTCACACAGAGGTAGAAGAAAGTAGAGACATGCAGAATCTCTGAGAGGAAGGCTAGGAGGGAGAAGAGTGAAAGGGAGCCTCCTTTAGTCTCTCCATACCCACAGAGACTGCAAAGCTTCCTTTTGTTGATAATCTAGGAGATACAGGGCCATTCTTGAGTGCTACGGTGCACCAGTAATGTTGGGTTTAAGCGGGAGTTTCTTGAGCCAATCTCATTACTAATGGTGGTTGGTAAGCCAGGGCCTTGAGTGGTCAATAGGGAGGTCATTGGGAAGAAAGGATTGTCACCCAAGGTCTGCCACCAAGAAGGAGGCAAATTGGTCTGAAAAGAAACCCAGGGACCCAATGACAAAATTGTTGAATTGTTAGGAACAGACACCGGGATTTTAGCAGAATGACCTCCAGCCAAGGTAAACTGAATGGAATGTGCCTGCCAGCCATATTGGAAAGCATAGTGAGGTGCATCTTTTCACCCCCACAAGGCAGAGCAGGCACACAGAATGGTCAACAGTCATCACCTGATGTCCTGGGGACGGTCAGGATGGCTAGTAAGAAAAAACTCACCAACTAGCTGTTGTTGGATGACGAGGGCAGGTGCCAGATGGTTCAGAAAGTGCGAGAACTGAGTCGGGGGAGGGGAGCTCCTACAATCTTTAACCAGAAGCAATCAATCAAAACGTCCAATTAATCAATTATTTACCACTTTTAAATAACTGTGGGAGATTAATTTATCACTGCTGATTATTCCCATAAAACAAGTCTAAAACATGAATACTTCCTTTTCAGAAAAAAAAAATTAAACAGCATTTTGGTTCTAGCATGAGTAAGAAGTACATTCTTTCACTGGTACTGGTGGTACACGCCTTTAATCCCAGAACTTGGGAGGCAGAGGCAGGCGGATCTCTGTGAGTTCAAGGCCAGCAGGGTCTACAGGAGCTAGATCCAGGACAGGCTCCAAAGCTACAGAGACACCCTGTCTCGAAAAACCAAAAAAGTACATTCTCATAAGAAGCTGCAAGACACAAGGAAAGGATCTCAACTGTGTACATGCATACATCTGAAGAGGTGGCCTGGCAAAGAATGTGTACAAAAACAGTGCTTTCCAGCAGGCGGCAGAATTTTACAGTTCTTCCTCCTTCTAATCTTCATTTGAGGAATGTAGAAGCAAACAGGGCAAAGAGGAAAGAATATAAAATAGGCTTGAAATAAGTCTTCACTTCGCCTCTAAAGCAATACCAATAGTAATGACCACCTCACATCTACGAGGAGACTAATGCCCAGAAAGGGCTTAATTAAAGGAGATATAGGATCGGACCACCCAGCCAGGAAGATCTAATTCCAATGCCTGTAATGTTTTTTTCTTTTAGTAGTTCCGGCTGGCCTGGAACTCATAGAGATTCGCCTGCCTCTGCACGTCAAACTCTGGAATTAAAGGCCTGTACCACCATGACTGACTTATAAATCTGTTCTATCAATCAATACTCTACTCGTGTTCATGCTTCGTACAAGAAACGAAGGAAAGAAAGCATGCATAATTTGACCAAATTCTCTTTGTTTTTGCCCTCTCTACCAAGTAGGAATGTATCACTATTAGTCTAATTTGTATAGAAGGACACAATATATCTGCACAATGAGAGTCTGAAGAACCTACTATTGAAGGGGCAGCAGCATCTTCTGACATAGCAGTACGTGTGCATTCATCTGCACACATACATGCAGATGCACATGTGTTTGTGTGCGGTGGCCACAGATGACGCTAGCTGTCTCCCTCTGCTACCCCTCACCTTCTCAGATGAGACAGGGTCTCTCACAGATACCGCTTGCCAGGCAGGCAGGCAGGCAGGCTAGTGGGATCCAGAGAACCACCTGTGCCCACCCTGGCGCACTGTTCTTACAAAAATGCTTTCGTGTTGGTGCTGGGCACTTAAAATCAGCTACTCATTCTGACATGGCTGGCACCCAAGCACTAGAGGCGTCGCTGGAGCCCAATACTTAGAGTCTTAAGAGAAGCACAGCAAACCTCTGGCTTGATTAAGCTTTGGGTTGGTTAACAACAGCAACAGAGTTCTTGCTCCTCATCTTCGCACAAAGTGCTGGTTTAGAACCACAGTCAGGACGCGCTGAGCGTGGCTATTTCGAGCCGCAATGGAAGGCCCAGGACGTGAGCCCAGAGGTGGTCCTTTCAACACTCGACTCCAAACACCTCATAAGCACAAGGCCTGAGGACCACGAAGCCCAAAAGCCATGGGAAACTGAAATTCACTTAGAATCTACCATTTAAAATTCACATTTGCGAAATTCAAATAAAGATCTTTTCTTTTTTGAGTAAATAAGTACGTTGGACAGAACTCTTGATGTTAAGGTGTGTTTTGTGATTATCAAACATCTTTTCATCCTAAACAGAGCTACTGAAGTCATGTGTGTGTATGAGTATTGTATATAGTAAGTATACTTATATACACACATACACATATATACATATACACACATATAAACACATATGTACGTGCATGTATATATGGTGCACATCAAGACTTGAGGATGAGCGTGCAGTGAATGGGAAACTATGAAAGCACTGGAGCTCGCAAGGCCATCTGCCTAGCTTTCATAACTGAGCAAAAACGTGTACTTTACCTGTCGAGATTTAAAGTTCCTGTATATATAAACTCCAACAGTTTCTGAAATCCGTCAGCCTTCACCTGACTCTGATCAAGAAAAACATTGTTCTCAGAAGTGCTTCTGTAGATCGCACCAAAATACTCACTAAAGGAGGCAAGCACATTCCTGTGCGCCTTAAACTGGAAGTCTCCAATCACTACGGTACAGTCACAGAGAAAGCCCGCTTCCCGCTGTTTGTTCAGTCTCTCTAAAAGGTGCTCACAGTGGTGCGAATACTGCATTTTGGTATCAGAATTTTACCCTTGATCTGAAAGACAAGAAGAGACAGTGAAGTCAATAAGCATAGGCTTTCATGAGATATCCACCCAAGCAGAGGTAGGGGAGGGGGGAGAAGGGCCAAAGGCTAAACTAACAGAGAGAGCTCTTACTTTGCACCTCCGCCCCCCTCCCGCATAGCCTCATCAAACACACGCGGTGATTGTCTTTCTTTGTTTTACTGAACTAGGACGCCAATGCAATGAATGATGGCGAACAAAGTCGATTTCATGAGTTGTTAAAAAAAAAAAGTCTTAAAATCCTAAACTTTTAGAGTTGACCCCTCAAACTTTCAAGCTCAGAAGAAATATTTACCTGAAGGTGCCTAAACAAATCAACTAAGGAATGACTCCTTGAGGCAGCGGGGATAAGAACGCGATGCGAGGTGTTTTCATTGCTCTCTGGTCACTGAAACCTGTAGGCTTACACCGGGTGGTTCCTCCCTGGCGCTAGGCAGGTGCTAGGGGGGCGGTAACGCCCCGACCAGACGAGGGCTGTCAAAGGCCCCGCCACTCCCCAGAGGCGGACACACCCCTCGCCTGCCTGCGGCCGGCCTGGCAGCCGCCGGGTGACAGCCCCAGCCAGTCCGCCCGGGCCTCCGCTGCCCTGCCCTCCTCCCAGCTCGCACTCCCGCGAGTTCCCACGGCACGGGCTGCAGCTCCGGCCCCGCGGACGCTGCCCCTCCCAGGACAACTCCTTCACCCCGAAACGCGCTCGACCTCCGAGGCGCCAGGCCACGCAGGACCTCGGGAGCCGAGATCGCGAGGACCGCGGGCCGGGCAGAGGGCGGCACTCACCGGTAGCCGCCCAAGGGAAACAGTTTCTTTACTCTCTCGCCGCCATCTTGGGAGGACGTCACCGCGGCGCCCCGCCTCTCCCTTCCTCCTCCGCTGCGGCGTCACGTCCGGACGTGCGGTCCGGGGTGGCACCGGCGCTAGGACTCCAGAGGTCCGCCAGAGCGGGCGAGCTGGTTCTGAGGCCTATCGTCCCGGCATGCCGGGACACACTTCCAGTGCTCACTCACATCCTACGCCAGACGCTCACCTGGTCAGCCCGCAGCATCTGGGCCGACCCCCGGCTCGAGTGCACGGCCGGCCTCTGCGGGAGCCGCGCTGCGCACTGCATGCTGGGACTTGCAGTTCTCTTCCTCTCCTGTCATCCTCTCTTCATTAGCGCCCCTCCAGTGGCGACGACGGCGCTGTGCACCCTGGCTCTTGACCGTGGCCGGTGGGAGGGATGTGCTTGAGTCGAGGAGACCAATCACTCCTTCCTCTCTTGCATACCCGAAAGCTCTTGGGACCCCCAGAGTTCTGCTTGAGCCGGCCCGCTGACGCTCATCTTCCAGGAGGCCCTTACCTGCAGACAGAAGACGGAGAAGCACCAAAGCCAAGCAAGCCAGCAGGGCGCACTGGGCATGCGCAACATGAGAGGAAGGTGGGCTTTCTACCGGAAAAAGGTTTTCCAGCGTCTGAACCAGGACAATTTTAGCACAATTATTTACATCGAATTCAGATTTTCTGCAGTAAAGGAAGAAGCGCACAGTTATCGCTGCACTGCACGAAAGTGCCAGCAAGTTTTGATGTGTTCGGGTAGATTCCTCCCTAGACTCTGCGGACGTTTTAAATCTTAAAAACCACAACTTTGTTGTTTAAAAAGTTGTTTTTGGACCTTACGGAATTTACCCATGACTTATTTTAAAAGAAACAGTCTCAAAATCTGAGACTTTTCCCCTACCGGAATCTTTGCATTATAACATCTCTGTAAGAATTCGTGAATAAAACCATAGACGTGTTAGTAAGAATAATGTTGAGGCTACTTTATTTTATATTTCTGAGTATAAATTTATTTTTAATTTTACCCTTTTGTCGGGCTCCTTTCGATAACGGGTTAATCCTGAAATATATAGTGAACTTGTCATACAGATTAAGAATAAAACACAGTTTGGCAATGGAAGGGAAAGCGGAATCTCGAGAGGAAAAAGTAAGTGGCTAATACAAAAGTGTTCCAGAGGCGATAGAGCTAACAGTTGGTTTTATTTGGCTGGTGGATTAACAGCCACCTCATCAGTACTTTTTGCTTGGTGTTCTCGGGGTGTTTGTTTTCAACATTAAAATAGTTTAGTAAAAACAGATTTCTTAGCGTATTTCCCCGGGTGGCAAGTTGCCCCTTGCAGGATTTGTCATCAGGGTTTTGAGAGCCTAGCTTTTGAAAAGCCCAGACAACAAGCAATAGTTAGAAGGGAAAAAAGGAGCGCGTGTGTTTCCGCCCGGTTTCGAACCGGGGACCTTTCGCGTGTTAGGCGAACGTGATAACCACTACACTACGGAAACCCAGCTGGCCGGGGTTGGTGAATGGCTCTTGATATGCGATGTTCTCATATACGCTTTGCAAATGTTTTAAGATTTATGTAATTTTCAGTGAGGAAGGGGGGGGGAGGGTCACATCGTTAACTAAATGGTCCTGAAAGAAACTATTTCAAAGTCTGAACTTGTTTGCAAACTCCTTGCAAATCCCTGCCGCTAGAGACCTCCTCATTTAGGGATTTTAAAATTGGCACAAATTAGGACCTTTGGTAAGTATTCAGAAGCAGTATGGGGGAGTCTCCTCGTTTCTGGCCCTTTTGCTTGGTTTTCGTCTCAGTTCCGGCAGGTTACACTCTCCTGCTGGAGAAGCTGTGGCGTGCAGTTGCCGGGGTCCCCTCCCCTCGGCCTGCTTCTGGTGGGAGGACACGTAAATCACATTTTCTTCCCCCATACTGCTTCCGAATACTTACCAAAGGTCCTAATTTGTGCCAATTTTAAAATCCCTAAATGAGGGATGCGCCAGATCAGACACCAAAGACGCTGTTTGCCGCGCAATGTACTTTCTTCCGAACTGAACTTCATAATAATCTAAGGAATTTCTTTTCTTACCAACTGACAGACGAGTCCTTATTTCTAAAAATCAACCCCAGGAAATAAAAATTAGCTTCGCTTCAGAGAACCTAGAGATAGAATCCAAAAAGATGAAAAAGAAGAGGAAAAGAAGGAAAGAAGAAATGAGGACTGGGAAAGAGGATGAAGCTAAGCACCTCAGAACTCAGAGGCTGAAGAGGGGAATTCTAGTGAGTTATCCTGGCCAGCCTTGCTAAAATGTCTTACAAAACAACCAAAAGCGGTCTGCTCTTAATTGCGTACACCTTTAGAAACTACAGAAAAGACGTGGCATTATCTACGATACCTACAGGACATAAACTCGTTTCACACCCCAGCACCCCCCGAAGTTGAGCGTTCCTGCAATATTCCCGGGCCATCCCCTGGTTTCAAGGGTGTCCACCAGTCTCCCCATGGCCCAGAAACACTCCGGGTAACTCAAGGACTTTGGGACAGTCATTAAAAAAAAAATAGCTTGTTAAAGTTTTCTAGAAAGTTCCGCGCAAATCGTGAGCTTTCATATGTTTCGCGAGGGAAGCCTGATTTTCTGGTGTTCAGTTTGCGAGTTTCCAGCGGCTGCAGTGCAGCCCAGAGAAGCGGCCGTACGGGCCGGCGGGTGGCTGGGTCTTCTGTGACGCGGGGCTCCGGGTGCTGGCCCTCCGGGAGGGGCGGCTCCGACGCCGCAGAGGCAGCAGCGCCGGCGACATGAGCGGCTACCAGCCACCGGTGGTGATCGACAGTGGCTCGGGAATGATCAAGGCGGGCCTGGCTGGGACCCGGGAGCCCCAGTTCGTTTACCCGAACATTCTGGGCCGGGCTAAGGGCCACAACACTGCAGTGGACTGCGCGCTGGAGCTGTGTGTGGGTGACCAAGCTCAGGAGCGCAGGAGCTTCCTGTCCATCAGGTACCAGGAGATGCTGCAGCCTGGGTGGGTGTGGGAGAGGGCGGAGAGTCCAGAGCTAAAGCCACCCTGAAAGGACCAGGGAGAGAAACCCCCTCACGAAAACCTCTGTTCTCTTTACACAAATGTATTCAAATGTATAGATGTCCGCCTAAGAATGTGACTTAATTTATAGCTTTGGCATGGTCTCTTGAACTATTTACAACTCTACCAGAATGTGGAAATTTCCCAACTTTTTGAAGTCACATTCTCCAAAGAGGAAAAAAAACTGGCTAAGCAAAATGCCTGTAGAGAAAGGTAGCCATTTACTGACGTTTATCTTCTGTTGTTGACCAGAAAGCAATACTGATCAATACTCACATTAGCTGAAACAGACCAGAGAGGACACATATTAAAGGTCTCTGTAGCACACCTTTAATCCCAGCAGAAGCAGAGGCAAGAATCTGAATTCCAGACCAGCTTGGTCTGCAAATTGAATTCTAGGCTTAGCCAGGGCTATGCAGTAAGACTGAATCAAAACAAGAACGATCAAATTTAATATATATAATATATTTATATACAATATATAATATATTATGTATATAAATCCTATTCTATATTAATTATATATTTATAGTATATAATTCATATATATATGATTTTATATAAAATCTAAAAACCACCATTAACAACAACCACAAAAGCACAAGCCTTACGTATCTTGTTGTTCTCCCTCCAGCTATCCGGTGGACCGGGGCCTCATTTCTTCCTGGGGGGACATGGAGATCATGTGGAAACATATCTATGACTGTAGCCTGAACCTGAAGCCCAGGGATGGCCCAGTCTTGGTTACAGAGCCTGCACTGAACCCGCTGCTGGACCGGCAGCACATCTCTGAAGTGTTCTTTGAAAACCTGGGCGTCCCTGCCTTCTATCTGTCTGTCCAGGCTGTGTTGGCACTCTTTGCTGCTGGCTTCACCACTGGCCTGGTGCTGAACTCAGGTGCTGGGATTACTCAGTGTGTGCCGGTCTTCGAGGGTTACTGTCTACCTCATGGTGTAAAACAGCTAGATGTGGCGGGACTCGACCTCACCAGCTACCTCATGATGTTGTTGAAGGACGATGGTGTCATGCTGCTGAGAACTGGGGACAGAAAGATTGTTACGGACATTAAGGAGAATATCTGTTACGTGGCGATGAACTATGAGGAGGAAATGGCCAAGGAACCTGGCCTAGAGAAAATGTACACACTGCCTGATGGGAAGACTATCAAACTCCATAACCAGGTCTTCCGTTGCCCAGAGGCCCTCTTCTCGCCAAGGCTTCTGAATGTTGACGCGCCTGGCATTGATAAGATGTGTCTCAGCAGCATCATGAGTTGCGACACAGATCTCAGGAATGCCTTCTTCTCCAATATTATCCTTGCTGGAGGATCCACCACTTTCCCTGGTTTAGACAAGCGACTGGTTAAGGATGTGGCAAAGATGGCACCGGCCAATACCCCAGTGCAGGTTATCGCTCCCCCAGAGAGGAAAATATCAGTGTGGATGGGGGGGTCTATTCTTGCATCTTTGTCTGCCTTCCAAGACATGTGGATCACTGCTGCAGAATTTGAAGAAGTTGGACCCAATATAGTACACCAAAGATGCTTCTGAAATGCAGACAAAAAATGATGAGTAAAACATTTTTGAGTGTACACAACAAAACACTGTGGGTATTCTAATTCTGGGAGAACAAAAAAAAAAAACCATTTCTGTTATTGGGATGGCCACTTTCTTTCCTAAAATGTTTTTGGTAGTTCTGGGACTCAGAGTCTCATGTGTGCTAAGCACCCTACCACTGACCTATATCCCCAGCCCTCTTTTTAACTTTGTATTTCGAGATAGGCTCTCCTGTTGCATTCATTGCCCAGGCTGGATTTCAATTTGTAATCCCTGGGCTTCACTCTCCCAGGCGGCTGGAATTTAGAGGCGTATGACTTTGGGCCTGGTTCTCAATATAACAGGGCAGGAAATGGTGCAATTGTTAGGTTTCAAACCCAGGACAAATAGCGAAGGTGCCTATTTAACACACCAGACTGGACACTGAGTGCCAGGTTCTTCTGGCATTCCTCTATCCCTGCCTGTTACGGGGCCCTCCTGGATGGCATACCCCACCCCTACCCTAAATTTCTCTCCTCCCATCTGCCCTCCCCTTTATAATCCATTTTGGTTACCTCTCCTCTCCTTGGGCCTCCTGGCTGCTGGACCTGGTTCCCCTTTGCCCTTGCCCTCCTTACGTGGCTCGGGGTCATGACCACTCTGGATGCTCCCATTTATCTCTGCCTCTGGCTCTGTCTCCCTTTTGCCTACAATAAACTTTCTCCCGCACTGAACCTAGAAGCAGTCATGTCCTTCCTTCTTTTGTTTCTTAATTCTTTTTTTCATTTTGTAATAATAATGGTCACAGTTGTATGAGATTTGGGGTACAGGAAAGAAACTGCCAAAATGGCCACTCCATTAGGGGGAAGTATCCAAGGCTTCTGGAGAAGTCCGAAGCTGAGAGAGAACCCAACTGGGCGTGGCCAGGGCTGTCTACAAGAGAGGCAAAGGAGTGAGAAAGAGCAGGGGTGGACAATTCTTGCAGATTTTTAAGTGTCAGGTCCAAAAAGAAACTCCAGATGAATGGCGAACCCTGGTACCTGTCAACAGACCAACGAGCATGCTGGCCTCCAGGCTCACGTGGTACCCCTGGCTCCTCTCAGCTCTTCTCACCCGTCCCTTACCTTAAATGTTGCCAGTCACAGTCTTCCCTTCCCCCGGCTTCTCATTTCTTTTTTTTTAAGATTTATTTATTTATTTATTTATTTATTTATTTATTTATTTATACAACTTTCTGCCTCCATGTATACCCACACGCCAGAGGAGGGCGCCAGATCTCATTACAGATGGTTTGGAGCCACCATGTGGTTGCTGGGAATTGAACTCAGGACCTCTGGAAGAGCAGACAGTGCTCTTAACCACTGAGCCATCTCTCCAGCCCCCCACGGCTTCTCATTTCTATATAACCCTGCGATTTTGGCCGTGAGCTCCCCTGGTCTTCCACTCGGCCCCCTCACTTTGTACTCTCCTGGTCTCCTCCCACACTTTTTCTCCTGGGCCAGTTCAGTAGGCTGGCCATGTCCAGTGTGCTATGCTGCTTCGCTCTCTTCTCTGAACTCCTCCAGATGGCTCTGTCTGTTCTCTCCCATAGGTCTACTGTAACAACCTTCCCCTCACCCACATCTTTGAGAGGTCACATCCTCACTTCACACAATAAGGAAGATGAGTAGCTGGGGAAAATGACTCCTGGGGACAGAAAACATTTATCACAAGTACCTGAGGAATGCTGACTTTTGTCTAACTACCAAAAATCCTTCTATAGTCCAACTTGAATTCCTTTCTAGACATATGGACTTCCTGAGACCTAACAGGTATTAATTGCCCATAAAAATAAGTTAAATGCTTCCCCCCTCCCCCAGACAGGGTTTCTCTGTGATTTTGGAGCCTGTCCTGGAACTAGCTCTTGTAGACCAGGCTGGTCTCGAACTCACAGAGATCCACCCGCCTCTTTGCTGCGAACTCCCTGGCCAGCAGGAAGGAACAGCCACCAGACAAGAATTCTTCCCAAATCACGCTTTACTGGAGCCTCTTGGTTATAGGGAGAGCAGAAGCGAGGGGCCCCCCCAAGCGCTGAGCTGCAGCTGCTTATATAGGGAGTCTGCCTAGCAACCTTTGATACTTCAATTGCTTCTCTGGAGACCCACTGGCTGGAAAGAAAACAAACATCCTTGTCAATTACAGACCACAAGGAAGTTCCCCTGCCGGTCAGGGGGAGTGTGGGCAGCTAGATCATAACAACTCATCCTGTTTTCTGGTGGAAGAACTGCAACCTTAATATGGAGTTATTTATCAAGCGAGGCTGGGGCCAAATGCCATCTTGTAATGGCAGCCACTCAAATCGGCTCCCAGCACCTCTGCCTCCGGAGTGCTGGGATTAAAGGCGTGCGCCACCACCACCCGGCAAGTTAAATGCTTTTATGGGAAGCAGTAGTCTTGATTTTTTTTTTCTCAGAAAGAGAGCAATGTACATGTTCCATTTATTTATTTTTGACAAGACTGTCTTAGTATGGGAGTGCTTGCCAGACTTGTATCCCCAGCTGGTCTTGAACCTCTTGCCTTCACCTTCTGAGTGTTGACTTCACAAGTCTAGACCACTGCACCTACCTTAAAATTTTCTATGTGAAATGAATAAGATGTAAGGTTATTGAAGTTTAATGCAGGGTGAAGAGGGCCAAGGAAAAATGCCCTGCCCACGACTAGAACCCAGGCCAGGGGCAAGGAAAAAGCATATTTACTAGAATGAAGAGGAGGGTTCTAGCCAGAAGGTAATTTAAGGCTAACAAATGAAAGTCTTGTTACAGCCCAGCATAGATGACCATTCGGATAGTTTACAGCCAACTGAAATTCTTTATGCCAGCTGGCTGGGATGACACTCAGGTATTTGGTCCTGAGAGTGAGGTTTAGGAAAGCAAAACCCAGGACCTGTAGTTGTAGGGGAGGTTTTGAGTAAGCAAGCAGTTCTACAGAAGCTAAGATAAGCGGTTAGCTGGGGGGGGGGGGTTTGCACAAGCAAGCAGTTCAACAAAAGCTAAGATGAGTTAGCTGGAGAGGTTTCTGTGCAAGAAACTAAGATAAAGTGATTAGCTGGAGGGGGAGGTTTGCACGAGCTAGCAGTTCAACAGAAGCTTAAGATAAGATAGTTGGGGCATCTTGACCTTGGGTCCTAGAATAGAGTTGGGTAATTCTCCTCAGGATTCTCCTTCAAGGAGATCAAATTCTAGTTAAATCTGAAATGGTCTCAGTAAGAATACTAGATGAAGGAACCTCTACCCTATCCTGCCTCATCACAGTCTTTATGGTTAAATGCTCCAAGGCAGAGGGGAGCAGCAAAGACTTAACTGCGGCAGGTCAGGGAATTTATTCAGATGAGTGAAGTGTTAATTTGGAGAATAAAATTGGACTAGGAAGTTTCAAGAGATTCAGTGATCAGTCAGAAAGTTATTAATTCAGATGAAAAGTGCTGTATTCTTATACTCAAGACGATAAACAATAGGAATTAAAAAGAAATTACAAAAACTGATGGGACTTGGTGCCTAAAGATTAAACACCTAATTAGGTAGACATTAGGGTCTGAGGTGACCTGTAGCTGAGACAATAGTAGAAATACTGATGCATAGGGGGCTGGAGAGATGGCTCAGCGGTTAAGAGCATTGCCTGCTCTTCCAAAGGTCCTGAGTTGAATTCCCTGCAACCACATGGTAGCTCACAACCATCTGTAATAAGGCTTGGTGCCCTCTTCTGGCCTGTAGACATACACACAGACAGAATATTGTATATATAATAAATAAATATTTAAAAAAAGAAATACTGATGCATAATTCGAGGTATTTAATATGGGCTCATTCAATGCAATAGTGCTAACCCAGGAGTTTCCTGTCTTTAAGGCTATTACTTAAGGAGGCTCATTATAACCTAAATGTTCAGGGCTAACCTGGACAACATTCTACTGTTCCCTCAAAGTTTGGTTCTTGGAACCCTGACAAGGGTCAGTGAGGGACTGGAAGAAGGACAGACAACCAGAGAGACATACAGAAAAGCTGGGTCTGTAGAGATGTGCTCGCCCAGTGGAATGGAACCAGTAGTCAACTCAGAACCTCAAGTGTTCTTGGGTGCTGCATAGGTGGAGGGGTGAGTTAGTCTCTGTGGCTGGGAGTTCTCTGCAGGGGAGTAGCCTCAGGATGTAAACATCCAGGAAGAAGAGGATTCCTCTGGGTGTAGAACAGATGCTTTATTGAGGTTAAGAGACACTGTGATTATTCCAAGCACACTTGGAATATGTATGCTTGCCTTATGATTTATCTCCTCTCATAGTTTGATTGACGGGTGATTATATCTCATTTGAGGAGGGTGACAGGTGGTGTGTGCATACTCCATTGCTCTATTCAGATTAGCTATTTTCTTCATTTACTACTAACTCCTCCTGAGTCCTTTCAGTTTCATAAAGGGAAATGTGGGTGTTCTTGTTAAGAGAATACAGCCCATTGCTTCTCATATTACAGGCTACACCTTAACCTAATGATTTTATGGTTATTCTTTTGCTTATGATTGCTCCTTTTTAGGGTTTGCTGAAGATGGTGCTATATAGGCTGAATTAGCATGGGATGATGAGGTATAATTGGCTTTATTGATTATAGAACAGGCTGTTCTAGATGGATCTAGATGGTACTGCCAAATCCTTTGAGTTTTAAACTGTAGCTAGTAGTTCGCTTGCAAATAATTTTGTTAGTGAGTTATTAAGGTTTAAGTCTAATTAGTAGGCATCTAATCTCAGTTTGGGTTTAGCTATTGTGTTTAGCTATTGTATATTGAGTTCATTAGATTTATTTTTGTGTTGGGTTTAGGTCCAACAATTAATTTTCACATATAAGTTGGATTTTACGTCTATAAACACTTCTACTTGGATCAAAATCAGAATGTGACAGGCTCAGATGGGAAAATGGCTTTGCCAATTTGCCATGGGTCTGAGACCTTGGCCTTCTGTGTGTCTGAGACCTTGGCCTTCCGTGGGTCTGAGATCTTGGCCATCCACAGGTCTTTGTCATGGTTGTAACCTGTCAAAGGTCACATTCACTCAGTCAGGGGCTTCTTCCACTCCCCACAACATACAGAAACTGTCAAAAGCAAAGCAAACCAAAGCCCACAAGTCTAGTAAGAAATGTAGCATTCAACGCTAAATTTCCATTCTAGCAAAGGGTAGATTTAGTGTACTTAACCGTAAAATGATCACAGGGTCCAATACAAGCCCGTGCTTAAGGAAGGCACTGAGAGGTTTTTTTTTTTCTTTTTGAATATTTTATTTATTTATTATGTGTACAATATTCTGTATGTGTGTATGTCTGCAGGCCAGAAGAGGGCACCAGACCTCATTACAGATGGTTGTGAGCCACCATGTGGTTGCTGGGAATTGAACTCAGGACCTTTGGAAGAGCAGGCAATGCCCTTAACCTCTGAGCCATCTCTCCAGCCCCGGCACTGAGAGGTTTGGCTCGGGATTGGGTTTAAGAAATGGTTGGAATTTAAATGTCTTAGAAGTTGGGTGTGGTGGCTTACCCAGTTGCTTGTACACTCAAGGGGAGCAAAGGCTGGAGGATTGAAGCAAATTCAAGGTCAATCTGGTCCACTGAGTGAGTTCCTAAGCCCCTGAGGCTGTGTACCTTGACTGATATTAGGTGCTGTGGCAAACACAGTCACTCAGGGGTA